ACAAACACCCCCCCCCCAGCATCACCATCACGTCATCTTCATCACGTCAACATCATCATCACCATCACGTCAACATAATTATCATCTCGATTTAAAGCTTTCGTGACTGCAGGGATTCATCTTCTTGGTTCTTTCGGTAAAGTCACGTAGAATGGAAATAATAAAATAATAAAAATAAAACATAATAAAGACTCTGTCCGAAACGTCGTGAGAATTATTTATTATGTTTTATTTTTATTTTTTTATTATTTCCATTCTACGTGACTTTACCGATAGAACCAAGAAGATCATTATCATCATCCCCACACATCACCATCACGTCAACATCATCAACACTCACACATAATCACCATCACCATCACGTCATCGTCACCACACACCCCAGAATTGGCCACCCACATCGTCCTCAAACATCCCGGCGGGACACGCGGGCGTTGAGGCACGGGCAGCTGATGGCTGAGTCCCCCCGCCCTCCTCCTCCACGATCCTCGTCAGTCGCAGCATCTCCACAGCGATCACCGTCCCTCGCCCGGGCTCTGAGACAAACCAGCAGCCAACGTCTGCCTCGTGGGGTGGTCGCAGCTTCCCCTCTGCGTGGACGGGGGGGGGGGTGAGCGAATCCAGGGTAGCGTTGTAGCCGTGGAGTGGTGTGCAGGCGGTGCAGCAGCGGCCCCTCCTGCACCGGGCCCCCGTGCCAGCCACGCGCGCCACTGCTCCGGGGCCGCGTGCGTCGCCTTCCTGCACGTGGGCCACGCAGGCCTCCCCGTTCTCTCTGGGGCCTTCTTATCTGATTGTCCTGTCCAGCTCCTCGCGAGAATTCGCCGAAAAGGGAGGCGCAGGAATGCAGGTGGGAACTATGGAGGGGGGAGGGGTTGTGGAATTGGGGGGGGGGGGGGCTGTAAGGGGACCCCGGTGCCAGAACCCGTTCACCCGCATGTCTGCGGTCGACTCCAGATTTTGACCCAGGTCCACGCGACCCACAGATATCCGCCAGCTGAGACGATGCTCTCTCTAACTCGGCAGATCGATTACTTGATTGGTGCATCGTCGTCATCATCAGCCATGATCGATCCACTGCTGGATGAAGGACCTCCCCATGCCGTCGCTTCTCTCGCGATCCTGCGATGTCTTTGGCTGGTCGCCTGAAGCCAGATCAGAGTCCATTGAGGGTGGAGCGGTGGTCCGGCGGTTCGCACCTCGCTGCAAGGAACCCAGTGACCCGAGTTCGACTCCTGGTCGCGGCGAACGTCAGCAGCGAGTGGCTTCTGAGCGGTCCCTCGTGCCCATGAACCGCCGCACTGACCGGCGTGGTGAAGTATGGTCAAACAACCCCTCTGACGGACACGGCGAGTGGAGATGCATTCATCCAGCAGTGTATTTACATGGGGCTGAACAAGATTCCATCCAGAATCGTGCTCCTGAGTGAACACGATTTTTAACCCGGATAATTAAACAACGGAGAAACGGGATACTGGAAATTTAAACAAATACAGCTGAGTAATGAACTGCAAGCAGCACGGAACGACGTTCTTCATGAAATAGGTAAACGCACAATTAACCCGCAGTTTAAATGAAACACAATAACGAACTTGGAAATGTGAAACAGAATATGTCAGTGATGTGAAGGATAATCCTAGACTCCTCCGCCATTCCATGCCGCCCCTCCCTCCCTGCCTGCGTCTTGCCGCGTCTCCACCCGATCCCAGCCACGGCCGTCGTGCGCTGGGTCAATCGTCCACGCTTTTCCCAAGCGATTGGGTGGTCGAGCGTTATCGGCACGGTGGTTCTCGCACACAGCAGCTCTGCCGCGCGAGTTCGACTCCCAGGGCTACGACTCCACATCAGTGGCAGCGTGGGAGAAGCATGGTCCAACGACCGACGCGGCTTGGTGGAGCTTTCGTCCGGCGGTGGTTTGGCAAAGGCACGATAATGATGACTCCAGTACAGCGAATGGGCACTTCGGAGCTGTGTGACTTTGATGGAGATGACGATGACCCATGCTGGGGTCATGACCTTTGCTGGGTTATGACCCCCGCGTGGGGTCAAAGTGGTGCAGCATCGTGAAGACGCGATCTGCGTGAATGACGCGAGATTAAACATCATAATCATCATCAGCAGCACTCCATGCGCAATATGGGACTGTGTTCCACACCAGCCGCAACGCCGTTCGCAAGTTCTCGTGCGCAGTCTCCAGGCTGCCCCCGTGGCTCCTGGCCTTGCCGAGTACAACGCCGCGTGCAGCGAGCATCGCCGAGGTCACAATGGAGCAGACACGAGGTCAACTGCGCCCAGCGTTCTGGCCACAGGTCGCCAGGTCAAATCCGGTCAGAAGTCGGCTCTGCCAATCACTGTTGTTATCATCACCATCATCCATCATTCATTCACCGTAACCCCATCGCTACCCTGCATTGTCAATGTTAACAATCGTTATCCTTCACCGCTCTTCATTATTTAACACTGCCCCTCATCCACACCCTCATCCACACCACCTCCTCTGCGGTGTGATATGCGCACACATATAGACACAGTTTACATGAATGCGGTGGATTTTAGACGTGAGTAGCAACAAATGAAAACTACGTCGCGAGTATGTCGCCCTGGGAGTCTGGCCCTCGGTCCAGGGCCGTGGAATTTCCGCCACAGCCACTAGCAGAGGTGAGCGCTCCAAACGGAGCCCGGCCGAGTAGAAGACAAATCGTCTTGGCTTCAAAACTCTCAAAACCCTGGGACCCCCCACCCCCCAGAGGCCCCCACCCCCCCACACCACTCCCCCTCACCGCCACCCACGCAGCCACCCCCCTCCTCCTCCCACCTCCGGCCCGGCCTCTGAAATTGGCTCTGCGCCTTCAAAGACGTCGCGTCCCCTTGATGCTGCACAGCTTGAGGTGGGGGGGGGACCACCGCGCCTTCCCCCCCCCCCTCGTCTCCAACTCGGGAGGCCCCCTGGGGGGACAGGGGGCCGTGCAGGATTGTGCGGTGGTGGGGGGGGGGGCACACCCCTCCCTAATCCCGCACAACCCCCCCCCCCCCCCGCGGTGATGGCGTTCACACCCCATCAATGCAAATCGCGGCGCGGGCGGCTGCTGCGATGAGGGTGTCGCTCTGGTTGCTAATGGCGCTAATGAAAGCGTGGGGGCTGTGGGGGGTGAGGAGGAGGGGGGGCGCTGTTTAAATGCGAGCTCTGTTTGATGTGACGTTGATTGCCGCGAGCGCTTGAGTTTGAAAAGCCGAGTTGATCCTCGACCACTCGCGCCTCCAGGCGTCGTGCCATCGCGTCACATCCTCCACACATCCTCACCCATCGGCTCCATCAGCTCTATCATCTCACCTTCACATCCCATTCGCCCTCGACACGTCCTATCATCTCCCCATCCCATTCCCTTCTCATCGCAGTCGCCTCATTCGCCATCCCTCCGCATCCGATCCACCACTTTCATCCTTCGCGCTCATCTCCTCTGCCAACCGCGAGGGGAAAGGGAGGCCCTTCCACCGGGCAGCAGCGCGAGCAAGCCGTTGCGGGGCTGCGCCTTGACCCTTCCACGTCGGCCGCGATGACGGCCGCTTGAGCGAGGCCCTCCTCTGCATCTGCTGCGGGGCCACGGGTCTCCGTTGCGAGCGCTGGAAGGCGGCGTCCGCGGGTCCCCATCTGGTTGTGGTTATTTAATCAGAGCCGCTCAATCGCAGCGAAGCGCTGGATACATTCCCAGAACCTGGGCCGGGAGCACATGTTGGGAAATCCCGTCCCACGGTGAACGCCCGGAGAGAGCGCGCGCCGCGTGTGCGTGAGAGGAGTGCTCCGAGGTTGTGGTGAACACCCAGCCAGACACGGAGCTGGGCGGAGGAGGCTCGAGTTGTAGGAAGGTGCGGGGAGGGGGAGGGGGGGGGTGCATCCGCCGTGGGCCTCACCGTGCCCCGCGACTCGAGTTACGCCCTCCCCCCCCCCGTTAGCCCCCCCCCCCCCCCACCGTTAGCCCCCTGCGGAGAGCGTTCGGGGTTCCTGCGTCCGCTGGGGGACAGGAACCTAAACAACAACAGGAAGCGTTTAAATAGAAAGGGCTGTGATTAAAGATGGCACTCACAACAACACTCACCCGGCAAGGGATGCACGAACACCCAACCCCCATCTGTGGGTGTTGAAGTCACTGACGACATTCTTAGCCAACCATGATTTCGCATAAACTATAAGTGCCTACTTCGCCTTGGGCATCGGCTCCCTGAGATCATCGATAGCATCACCATCGTCGTCAATATCACCACCATCATCATCATGGCAGTAGGCCTGTCCACTCCTTGACGTCGAGGAATCGTAATCCTGAGCTATGGTCTATCCACTGCTGGATAAAGTCCCCCCTCGCCCACGTGATCGCCCATCTCCGCGGTGGTCGCTCTCTCAAGGGCACCTTTGCAATCACGTTACCGGTCTTGTCCAGTTGCAGCGAGCAGTGTACCCTCGCGTGTCATGGAATGGCAGGAGAGTTGACGTCACAGATGCGCTTCTGCGGCCGTCTGGAACGCTCTCCCTTTCGATATTCGGAAGCCACTGGGAGCTTCGCACTTTTAAATCTCGATTGAAAACTAATTTCTTTAGGACTGCCTTTTGTGTTTAGTGTTCTTGTCCTTGCCCCGCACCTCCGATTTGGCACGGTTAGGCCACGTTCGGTGCGAAATAAGTTCAACACACACACATGCATGTCTCCCTCTGATGTCACTTTATTGTGTGTAGGTTATATAATTAGACGCTTAAACTGGGTGTCGCCACGCGTTCACTGTGTATTTTCAGGGGACATCCTTGCACACGACATATTACCTCTCGAAAAACTTTGCAGGTGAAACATTGTGACTTGACGGACTGTTTGTGCAGTCATTGGCGGTGTGGCCGAGATCATCGCCTTGCTGAGTATTGAGAGCCCGCTGTAGTGGTGGGGCGGCTGGAACCCGAAGTCGAACCTGGGTCGGGTTGCCGTGTGGCTGAACGCGGCATTGTGCGTGCGTGTGTGCAGATCGGCTCGTTACGGGACTACTACCACTTCCACCACAGCAGGGTGATGAAGCGAGCAACCGTGAGGAGCCGCGGGGCCCACACCTTCATCGAGGCAGAGCCCCAGGTGAGATGCACGCGCTGGCATGCACACACATGCACACGCACACACACACACGCACACACACACGCACACACGAGCACTTGCACCCACGCACACACGCGCTCGCACGCACACATGCGCGCAAACATGATGGTGGTGATAGATGAATAATAACACTTTACATTTTCAAGGCATATTTCATCCGTAGATCCCAATGGTGGTGGTTAGTGATGGTGATGATGATTGATGGTGGTGATAGATTGAAGTGCTTTTGGTCGTGATAGTCAGGGGTGGTGATGATGTGGTGGTGGTGGTGACGATGATTGATAACTGTCGTGGTGGTGGTGGTGGGTGGTGGTGATGATGGTGCTGGTGGAATTGGTGGTAATTAAACAGGACTGAGACTCAAACACAAAATAATGGGAACCACTTTGACACCGCACGCCTGAACACGCACCCCCGGTAGAGGCACGCACGCGCACGCATGCGCGCACGCACCCTCGGTGAGCGTGCGGACACCCGGTGAACACGTGTGTGCTCTCGCGTGCTCGCAGGTGGAGTGGGTGGAGCAGCAGGTGGTGCGGAGGAGGAGCAAGCGCGACTTCAAGACGGTCTCCGTGGCAACGCTCCTCTTTAACGACCCCAAGTGGTCCAGCATGTGGTACCTGGTGAGTGAGGGGTGGGGATAGAGAACATCTGTGAGGGTGTATGAGTCGTGCTCCAGTTATAATAGTGAGTTTTTAGTGTGGGGGAGAGTGCAGCATTTGCTCTGTAATTGGGAGCAAAGAATTGGGCGTGTAAGTTTTGTTGGGTCTGTCAGTATCAGTCTCTGTGTGTCTGTGTGTTTGTGCATATTTGGGTGTCTATCTGCCAGTCATCTCAGTCGACCCATAACCCTTGGGTCTGTCCCGTGACCGCTTGCCAGCAAGCCTTCCACACTTCACGTGTCCTCAAAGCGCACCTAGCTTGGCACAAGCGTTGTGGTTACATCACCGTCACTTAGTGGCAAACCGCAGTTTTTGTTGTTGTCTGCATGTGTGCATGTGCGAGTACATCTACATGGTGGGGAGCAGTAGTGTCGTGGTTAGTGCGCTGCGCTACGAACCCGGCGACCCGAGTTCGATTCCCGCTCACGGCCAACACCAGTCACGATTATCTCAACCGGTCCTGGGCCTCCCCTAGGTCCGCTCAACCTCAAAAGAGTACCTGGCGCGGTGTGTAAAAACATCACCACTGGGGAGACAAAGGCGGTCGGGCGTGGTGTTGGCCACCCACGCCCTCATGTGCAGTGCCGGCCTTCTTAGGTGCTCGCTAACAGTACTCGCCCCAACAGTGTGTCAAGGCTACACGGGGGATCTTTGTCTTTTGTGCGTTCCTCCGACCACACACGTCGCCCGCTGCGCGTGCGTGCGTGGGGCTGTGACGCGCGCTCCCCTAATCGCGCAGGACAGCGCTCGCGGCGCGTTATTCGCACCGCGGCCCGCCGGGGTCATCACCCCATGGGGCCCCTCGGGGGTCCCCAACCCAAGGGGGTCACCACTCCACGGGGACCCCTACTCCTCGCCAGCTTGTCGGCTATACGGAAACACAAGGGGGGGGGGGGTGAAGCCCTGATTGTAAGGAGCCGTCGATAGCGGTAGATCCTTGCGATAGCGACGACCTCCCGGGCCGATGCTCCATTTGTGTTTTTTATTTTCCCAAATTTGCTGCAAATTTTTATTTTGACGGAATGGATTAGACGAAATAATCAAATCGTGCTCTCCGACCATTGCAAGTGATCGTCGTATATCTGCGAGGAAGCTATGGTGGAGGTTACTTTTATGAAGGAAGTGATTTTCTGTGGATAGACTGCCCCTTCCAAAAGAATGTGGAATTGCCACCACTGACTCGAATGCCAATGGTTGTGGGATCAGAGAGGTACTTGGAGCTCTGCTACCCTGATACCTCTACATCCCGCTGACCCCAGCCCCATGTTGACCTGTGCCCTGTGCTGAACTCTACCCCCCGTGCTGCCCCCTACCTCCATCTTGACCCCTGCCCCCCACGCTGCCCCCCTCGCTGCCCCCCTCGCTGCCCCCCTCGCTGCCCCCCTCGCTGCCCCCCGTGCTGCCCCCCTCGCTGCCCCCCGTGCTGCCCCCGTACTGCTGTAGAACTGCAGTGACAGAGGCTACAACTGCCGCTCGGACATGAACGTGATGGCGGCGTGGCGGCGCGGCTACACGGGCCGCAACGTCGTGGTCACCATCCTGGACGACGGCATCGAGCGCAACCACCCCGACCTCGTCGACAACTACGTGAGGGCGCACGCGCGCGTCTGTGGGTCTGTGGGTCTGTGGGTCTGTGGGTGTGCGCGTCTGTGGGTGTGCGTGTACGGGTGTGTGCGTGTACATGGGCGTACACGTAGGGAGCGGTGGTGTAGCGGTTAGCGCGCTGCGCTACGAACCTGGCGACCCAGGTTCGATTCCCGCTCACGACCAACACCAGTGACGATTATCTGAACCGGTCCTGGGCCTCCCCTAGGTCGACTCGGCCTCAAATGAGTACCTGGTGCGGTATGCAAACATCGCCACGAGGGAGACAAAGGCGGCCGTGCGTGGTGTTTTGCCACTCACCCCTCGTGTGCCGTGCCGGCCTTCATAGGCGCTCGTTCGCAGCACTTGCCCCAGTGGTCTGCGGGGTGACACGGGAGATCGTGGATGTGTGTGTGGTTGTGTGTGTGGATTTGCGTGTGTGGTTGTGTATGTGTGTGGTTGTGTGTGTGTATGTAGTTGTGTGTGTGGTTGTGTGTGTGGATTTGCGTGTGGTTGTGTGTGTGCGTGTGGAGCGTGTTTTTATAATGTAACACACACAGTGGTGCCGCAGCAGATTCCCGCGTCTGACTCAACATTCCTGTGGACCCCGGTTCTGGGGGACCCAGAGGGTAGGGGGAGCAGGGGGGGCGGTGCCTCCCTGGACCACACAAAGGGGCGTTAATGAGGACCTGCGAGTGTGTGGTGTGGTGTGTGTGTGTCGGTGGGAGTGTGGTGTGTGTGTGTCAGTGGGAGTGTGGTGTGTGTGTCGGTGGGAGTGTGGTGTGTGTGCCGGTGGGAGTGTGGTGTGTGTGTCGGTTGGAGTGTGGTGTGTGCGCCGGTGGGAGTGTGGTGTGTGTGTGTCGGTGGGAGTGTGGTGTGTGTGTGTATGTCGGTGCGAGTGTATTTAGGAGAGGGGAGCACGTTGTCCTGAGCCTCCCTTAGATCTGCTCAACCTCAAATGAGTACCTAGTGCGGTGCGTAAACATCACCACTGGGGAGACAAAGGCGGCCGGGCGTGGTGTTGGGCACCCACGCCCTCATGTGCCGTGCCGGCCTCCATCAGTGCTACTGGTAAACAGCACTTGCCCCTACACCCTGTGGAGGCCGTGTGGATCCTGACGTGGCGGACGCTTTCTTTTGCGTAAACGATGCGTGCGGTCATCATCTCCAAATCATCGTCGTCCAAATCATCGTCATCCTCGTCGTTGTGATTTGTTGGCAGGACCCACTGGCGAGTTACGACGTGAACGGAGATGACCTGGACCCCATGCCTCGCTACGACATCAGCAACGAGAACAAGTGAGGGTGCGGTCCCAGGGGGGGGGGTGCGGTCAAAAGTGGGGGGGGTGCAGACCGGGGGGTGTGCAGGCGCTGTGCAGGCGGTGTGCAGGCGGTGTGCAGGAGGTGTGCAGGCGGTGTGCCATCCCGGCGGGGTGCGTGATGATGTTGCCGGGGTGTGCGGCCCTGGGGCGCCTGCGAGCTCTCTGCGGCATCGTGCTCCTGTGATCCGGTGACTCGCATTCAGGGTTGATGGGTCGCGTAACGAACCGCACCCATTGCTGACAAGTGGCCGATTTTCCGCAGTCGGTACAAGCAGTGGGTGACTGAAACCTCTCGACCCGATTATCCCGGGTGTGCGCGTGGCTTCTTAAGGCACTCGGGGTTCCAAAAGACGAAGGCAAAGATACTCCAAGAGGCCTTAACAGACTTTTTGGGCAAGTGCTGTAGGTGGCCAGCCCGACGCACCGTGTCCCCACGGTGCTGATGTTCCCACATCGCGCCACTTACTCATTGCAGGTTGAGTCGACCTCAGCGAGGCCCAGGATCGGTTTAGATCATTATCGTCCCTGGTATTGACTCTGAGCAGGAAATCGAACCTCGTTTGCCGGATTTGTAGCACAGTGCTCTAACCATTGGTCGACAGCTCCCCACACACACACGGTGGAATTTTCCTCCACCGCGAATCGGCCAAACACCCCGAGCGGGACCCTCTCGCAAACGAGTCACGAGACTCTGTGCCATCAAAGGCTGCTGCCGCCGCTGCTGTTGTTGTTGTGTTGCGCCCGGGTGGACCGGCTGACTTTTGGCCGAGCAAATATTGGGACAGCGTTTGTACGGGAACACGGGGTGATGGGTGAGAGGCTATGGGGTGAGGGGCTGTTCGGTGATTGGGTGTGCGCTGAGGATGTGTGCGCTGAGTGGGTGTGCGCTGAGGATGTGTGCGCTGAGTGGTCCTGCTGCTGTGAGAGACTCCATCCCTAGCGAGGGGGGGGGGGGTAGCCATGCGTGAGGAGCCGGGGGTGATTCTAGCCTCGCGAGAAAAAGTTTGAAATAACTCAATAGCAGCAACTCAAGAATAACGAAGCGCTATCCAGAAGGCAGTCCGCACGATGGTGTTACCCCAGAGGCAGCCTCTAGGTGCGAGGGAATCTCCTGCACCCTGTGGCACTTGCGTCTTCAGCGAAGATAAAAGATCAATTTAAAAACATGAGCCTTGGCAACAAGCCATCGAAAATTATTGAACGACTCCGAAAGAAAGCGCCGGTGTGATTTCTGTAAGCGAGGGCAGGGGCCGGCAGGGCTGGCGGGTCAGTCGCCACACGCGTGGCGCCGCCACGCTCGTGTGACGAGCGGCCCGGCTCCCCAAACAGCAGTTTCCGCACCTCTCCGATCGTGCGTCTCGCTTAGTGCCGTGTCCGACGTTTTGCTCCACGTGCTGGGTGGGAGCTTCTTCAGGGAGCTTTCCAGCAGATGAAGCGAAACGTCGGACATCGTGCCAAACAACACACCGCACATCCCGAACGCGCATCGGACAGCGAGGTCACACACGCGCACCGCCACCCCAAGGCAGTCCCAATTCCAACTTGAGCCAACCACCACCATCTCATGCCGTCCATGACAACCTTTTGACAACTCATCACCTGCCTGTGCCACCCAACACCTTTGTCGGCTGCTACCTCTTGGCGCCACGTGACATCTCGCCCCACTGCCGAACAACTCGCTGCCCCGCTCAATACCTTGCACCGTCCAACACCTCCGTACGCCTCCCGGAGTGAACTGCAGCTTTCTCGTGCCACTCATCACCGTCCCGGGCCCCCCAACTCCTCCCCGTGCCGCCACCCTACCTCACCCCCCCCCCCCCCCCCCCCCCAGCGCGCTGTTAGCTCCCGGCGGATGTGACCCGCGCTGTGCAGTGCGGGGACGTTGAATGCGCGCTGTGTGCTCGAGCCGCTCTCGTCGGGGTCCGACGGGGGCGCGGAGTAACGCGATGCCGCGCGCTCGTGCCGCCGTGTTGCTGTTGGCCGCCGCCGCCGCTGAGCCGCGTCACTCCGCGGCTCCCTCGCGCGCCCCCCGGCAGCACGAGGGAGCCGCGGAGGCACGAGCGGCTTTGGGGCGGACCGCGCTCGTGAAATGCGAATGGCGCCCCTCGGCGCACGCGCAACGAAGCGAACGTGCCGGGTCGACGCCAGAGAGATCCGGCGATTCCCAACGCAAACGAGCATCGGGAGACGGTCGCCTCGACCAGCGGCGATAGAAATTCCACATTCCCATGGTCGCACAGTTACGCAACGGTGGTGACGACGACGTTTTTGTCCCAGAGAAAACCACGGCCTAAATACTTCTGAGGTCGGAGTTCAAGATTTCTTTTCTGCATTTCGAGTGTCTCAGGGTTGGAGTGAAATGCGAGGCGTTTTGGTAGGAGGGGAGAGTCTCCCAGGGGAGGCCACAGCCGGAGCTCGCGAGCGAGGCGCCGTCATCCATCGCGCCGCGCTCGTTCGTCGTACGCAACGCGACGTTTGGAGAAAAATGTAGAAACGCTCGCGAAACGGCGCCCTCGGCCTGCATCCGCGGCTCCCCGGATCGCGCGAGGGAGGCTGTTTGTGGGGTCGGCGGAATCGCGGACAGATTTTTGTGAAACTGCCGAGACCCACCGGACGGCCTGGCGGGGCCATTGGGAATCCTACGGGGGGGGGGGGTCACGAGCACCCCCCCCCCCGTTGTGTGGATGGGGAGGGTCGCCCCCCCCCCCCCACCACCACGTGGGGTGCTGTCTCTTGTTGCCATGGACTCCTCCCCTGTGGAGCAGGACCCTCTTGAAGAGTGGTGACTTTCGTTGGTAAATATAATACTATTGTTATTTAGATTGTATTATTCTTCATGGAAATTGATATTATATATATACATATGACAAATACATCGTCCCCGTGTCTTTTAAAGGTGTGTGTATGTGTGCGTACGTACAACGTGCACATAGCCTGGCACAAGCGCCGTGGTCAAGTCATGGCGCTTGTTGTTGTTGTACGTACACATGCGTTGCACGCATGCACGCACGTGTGTCTGTCTGTGCACGGCGGTTAGCGCTGCGCTGCGAACCCGGCAACCCGAGTTTCCATTCCTGCTCACGGCCCCCAACACGAGTGACGGTTGTCTGCACCGGTACCTGGTGTGGTGTGTAAACCTCAGTACTGCCGGCCACCCCCCCCCCCCCACCCTCATGTGCTGGGCTGCCCTTTATAGGTGCTCCGTAACAGCACTTGCCCCAATACTCTGCTCACGCGATATGGGGGATCTTTGTCTTTGTACATGCGTGCGTGTGCGAGTGCACGCGTGATGAATCGGTGTTCTGTGGGTGAGAGGTTGCGTTCGGGTTTCCTAACTTCTCATGAACGGAGTTTCTGTTTCTATCGCTACTCTCTTCCCAGCGAGGATGGGCAGCAGCGCAGTTGACGGGGGGAGCGACGCGGAGACGCAGCGCCGAGCATCGCGCAGTGCGGCTGTACCGCCCTTGCTGTGTGCCGATGCTGTTATGCCATCGTGGTTCTGCCGTCCTTGTTGTGCTGTCCTGGTTGTTTTCTGGGTATGCCGAACTAGAGCTATGCCGATCGGGGTGTGACATTCTAGGGGGTGTTGTTCTGCTGTGCGTGCGTGTGTGTGGGGAGCGGCCTTGCGGCGGTTCGCACACTGCGCTACAAATCCAGTGAGCCGAGTTTGATTCCCGCTCACGATCACTATCAGTGGCAAATATTTAAACCAGCCTGGGGACTCCCCTAGGTCGACTCGGCCTCGAATCAGTACCTGGTTCGGTGCGTAACGGCAACACTCGGGAGGCAAAAGCGGCCGGTCGTGAAGTCCACCAACCCCATGGGGCGCCGTGCCGGCGTCCTTAGGTGCCCGCTAACAGCACCTAAGGCCCCGACAGGCTGTTAGAGGCGGGCTCGGATCGGGGAGCCACATTTCGCGTGTTCCCATGGGGGAGTTCTCGTGGCTGCGAGGTCATCCTGGCCGCCTGGAAGTCGCCACGGCTGAGGTCGAGACTGGCGATGGCCACGGGCTCCAGAGCCTATGCCCGAATGTCTCAAATACCGTGTGTGTCTGTATTTATAAAAACAAGTTATTTCAAACCATATATTGGTGTTCTCAACGTCTACTTTGATGCAACGCTTCTGGAGAAGTCCGGCGTCTGGCCCCGCGTGCTGGGAGCGTCTTCCCTTCCGAATGTTGACGTCGGTCCAGTGGCGCTGTCTCTTGTCGGCACGCGGCATGAAGCGTGTGCGCGCCGCTGGTCTCCTGTTTATGCCGGGGGGGCGGGGGGGGGGGTTGGTAAATTATTGTTGCACGGGCGAAGGTCACGGCCACGTGTGTGTGCGTGTCTGTGTGTGTCCGTGTGTGTGTGCGCGTTTGTTTTGGCCACCGACCCCCTTGTGTGCCATGCCGACCTTCATAGGTGCTCGCTAACAACATTTGCCCCGACGGTCTGTTTAGGCTACAGGGGGGATATTTGTCCTTGCCGCGTGCGTGCGTTGCTCCTGCTCCTGTTGTTGTTGTTGTGTTGACGACGTTGCGACGCTTGTCCCCGTTGCTATGGCAGGCACGGGACCAGGTGTGCCGGGGAGGTGGCGGCCACGGCGAACAACTCGATCTGCGTCTCCGGAGTGGCGTACAACGCGCGGATCGGCGGTACGCGGCAACCGCAACTAAACTCGCAGCTACACCCGCAGCGACACGCACGGCTACAGATTGCCAGCGTGGACTTACAGACTGCAGAGGCAGGCGCTGTTGGAGAGCGCCTGTGTACACGACGCTCCAGTTGACACAGCAGTGGCCCAGAACGGATTCCGATACCATTTTCCTTTTATGTTGGCCACTGGCCGGGAATCGAAACCGGGTCACCGAGATCGTAGCACAGTTCACAAACCACTGAGTCACTTTTCCTGTAACTGTCATGCTCCCCATTGACGCGATGCCCATACACAAGGTCACACCTGCACACACAAAACTAAGGTGCTCATCATAGCCTCTATCAGACGACTGGGACAAGTGCTGCGAGTGAGCACAGTTCACAAATGCACTGTGGGGGCCAGAACCATGGCCAGCCGCCTTTGTCTTCCCAACACCGATTCCTCTCACACCGCACCCAGGCACTCATTTAAATCCGAGTCGATCTATCAGGTGCCCAGCACCGGTTCAGATTCCTTGTCGCTGACGTTTGCGGTAGGATTATCGTGCAGTGCGCTACCCACTGGGCCACGCGCGGGAGCACGCCGTGGTACTTCTCAGGGTCTCGGCCACACCGCTCGGCTCGGCCTGTTCCAATTAGAAACGTCACCGGGGGGTGGGGGGGGGGCTGTTCCCAGATGGGGGCCTGGAGCCCAGAGAAGCCCTCACCAGTGAGACAATGTCTCTCTTTCCTGTCTCACCATCTGAGGCTGTTGCGTGCGTGCGCGTGCGCGTGGGTCGGTGAGTAAGCGAGTGCGTGAGCACAGATGTTGTTGTGAGCGCATTTCCAGTCTCTCTGTGCCGCCACCGCCGCTCCACGTGTGATCCGGGCAGCGTCTGGGTTTGGCGCGGGAGTCGATTGTCTGAGGAGTCTGAAGGAATTTTGGAAACCAGAGCAAGTTCACGCCGAGGTTTCTCGCTCGGATTAAAAGCAAACGCAGCCCGGAAAAAACCCACGTTGAGTCCTCCTCCTTAGGACACAGACCTCGGCTGGAGTCATGCGGCACAGCTGCGAGGAATGCATTGGACCCCCCCCCCCTCCTCCAATTCCCACTGAACACACACCCTGAACCCTACGCACTCCACACACGCACGCACTCCACACTCGTGCACTCCACGCACTCTAAACACACACACACCCTAAACCCTACGCACTCCACACACGCACGCACTCCACACTCGTGCACTCCACGCACTCTAAACACACACACACCCTGAACCCTACGCACTCCACACACGCACGCACTCCACACTCGTGCACTCCACGCACTCTAAACACACACACACCCTGAACCCTACGCACTCCACACACGCACGCACTCCACACTCGTGCACTCCACGCACTCTAAACACACACACACCCTGAACCCTACGCACTCCACACACGCACGCACTCCACACTCGTGCACTCCACGCACTCTAAACACACACACACCCTGAACCCTACGCACTCCACACACGCATACACTCCACACTCACTCTACACGAGTGCACATACCCTACACACACGTAGTTTACTCTGAACACGTGCACGCTGCATGCACGTTGCACGCATGCTTAACACGTTCTCTAGGCTGCACTCCAGCTCGTACTACGTTCGAGCTTTTAAACTGTAGACTAAATCACAATTGTGGACTTTTTTCCCCCTGAAACCAAATCCCATTTTGCTCTCGTAAAGTTTCCCCATAAATCATGTCAATTGTGCCGCGCTCCTATTTGTTCTCGTAGTTACTTGTCAGAGTTACATCACGCTCATGGGCTGAGTTAAGGGTTTAATTTAGCTGCAGTCAGCTAACAAAATAAAACCCCGATCCTGTCCCTTCTGCATTTCGGTATTTTAGTGGAAATGTCCCGTTTCTTTGCAGCTGGCTGGCGGCTGCGAGGTGAAGCCTCGTGAGTGAGGCAGCCCTGAGGGAATGAGTCACGCTGTGTGGGAGTGTGTCGTGGAGGAGCGACGCTCACAACAATCAGCAGAGCGTCGGGAGGATAAAACACAGAACACAGCGAGTTGTTGGCACGTTGGCAGAGTGCAGGCGGCGCATCTGCCAGTCACTCTCGCCGGATGACCCGTGATGTCTGGTTCTAATAATAATGGTAACAATGAAGAAGGCCATTATTTACCCAGCAAAGCCTCAAAGAGTCTCGGGAATATTTGAGGAGGGTCCTGCTACATTGATGCTTGACCAGTGCCACGACGAATGGGAGTTTGGCTCCGCATGGGAAGAGGAAACCGGAGAACCCCGGTACCGCCAACTCCTGGCCACGCCTGCAGCACCTGGCAAGCCCCTAGTGGTGGCCATTCATTCAAGCACTAGGCCAGCCTCAACCCGGCTTGGCTGCCGAGCTGCAGGGAGACTGGGCGCATGGACGGTGCTGGGACTTGGTTATGCGAGTTCCTGCAAGCAGTGCACCTCTGTGTCAGGGTCTCGGAGTGGGGGTGTTGGGTGGCCTTGTGCATATCTCATCACCTGGTAGCCCAGTGAGTGTTGTGGCTGGGTGGGTGGGCTGGGTGGACCTGCGAGTGCACGTCAGTGTGTGGCCCCATCACCAGGGGTTGCGGTGGTGGTGCAGTGGTTAGTGCGTTGATCTGTGAACTCTGTCCCCTGAGTTCGATTCCTTGCTGTGGCTAACGACGTTGGCGAGAGACATCTGGACCAGTCCATGATCTCTCTTAGCTCGGCTTGGCCTTCATGGGCATCTGGTGTGCTGTGTAAACGCAACAATACTGGAGAGATGTTGGATGCTAGGCGTGGCGTTGGCCACACCGCTCCCTCGTATCTCATGTTGGCTTTAATAGAAGTTCACTCACAGCATTGGCACACAAAAACACACAAAGTTGTGAAAATGCTGAGAAAGAAGAGTAGGGGAGGACAGAAAGACACGTGGACCGATGTGGCGGTGAAATATTCACAAGAGAAGGCATTGGGACCAAGGGCAGCCGTGAGACTGGCTGAGTGGTGGGCAAATCTGCGCCGTCGCTGCCAATGAGCTGACATGAGGGGGCACTTGCTCCCGGCAGCCTGCAAGGCCTCACGGGGATCTGTGCCTGTGTGGCCGCGTGAGTGCAAAGAGGTGAAGTGCTTCTCCTGAAGACGTGCGTGCCGTCGGGTGGTGCCGGCTCTTCCTGTCTCGAATAGTTGCACAGTTATTATTTATTATTATAATTATTAGCAGTAGTTGTGGTTAACCCTGACTTGCCTGGGCACCCCCCCCCCCGTCCCTCTCGGGACAGGTGCCTCCAGGCTCATTGGCTGCTCCTTAAACACCATCAACATTCGGCTCCCTTGACACCGGCGACACAAACCGCCTCGCCTCGGCTTGTTCTGTGTGCCTGTGTGTGTGTGTGCCTGTGTGTGTGCCTGTGTGTGTGCGTTGGGGAGCGGTGGTATAGTGGTTAGCGCGCTGCACTATGAACCCGGCAACACAGGTTCGATTCCCGCTCACGGCCAACACCAGTGACGATTATCTGAACCGGTCCCGGGCCTCCCCTAGATCGACTCAGCCTCAAATGAGTACCTGGTGTCGTGTGTAAACATCGCCACCGGGGAGACAAAGGCGGTCGGGCGTGGTGCTGGCCACCCACCCTCTCGTATACTATTCCGGTCTTCATAGGTGCTCGCTAACAGCACTTGCCCCTATAGTCTGTTAAGGCTATATGGGGGATCTTTGTGTGTGCCTTGTGTGCATGTGTGTGCGTTGGGGGGCAGCGGTGTAGCGACTAGCGCACTGCGCTACGAACCCGGGTTCGATTCCCGCTCACAGCCAACACCAGTGACGATTATTTGAACCGGTCTTGGGCCTCCCCTAGGCTGACTCGGCCTCAAATGAGTATCTAGCGCGATGTGTTAAAACATTTCCACTAATGAGACAAAGGCGGTCTGGCATGTGCCGTGCCGGCCTTCATATGTGCTAACAGCACTTGCCCCAACAGTTTGTTAATGCTATACGGGGGATCTTTGTTCTTATTGTCGCTGTGTGGTCTGGCCGGTTGACGCTAGGCGGATGATGATCATGATGATTGCCTTCTAATTAACCCCGGAGCGGGGGTTTGAGTCCCACACGAGGAGCCGCCCTCGGACTTTCACTCTCCACACATCTCTCGGTGTCGGTGGCTGCTAAACTTGGAACGTCGTCAAAATTATCATGATGCTTCATCCATCACCGCCCATCATCCATCACGGTCATAGCCATCCCATCATCCATCATCACCACCACCATCATCCATCATCACCACCACTACTACCCATCATCCATAATCAGCCCGGAAAATCGCAAGTGTCCCGGTGTCTGTAAACTTTGTCCATATCCATCGTTATCATCCCTCTGCCCTATGAAGAGGCTGCCCCCACTACACCTGTGCGTTTGTATTCGTGCAGGTCCATGTGTGCATGTGACTCGTGCGTGTGACTCGTGCGTGCGTATGTTTGTGTGCACGCGTGTGTTTGTGTGCACGCGTGGATGCACAATTGTGCGCCTGCATGCGTGGGCGTCGCAGCGTCGGCGTGCAGTCGCGATTGTCTGCGAGCTTGCGCACCTGCCCAACTGAGCGCGCGCGTGCGTAGGCGTGCGCATGCTGGATGGCGAGGTGACGGACATGGTGGAGGCCACGGCGCTCAGCGTCAACCCGCAGCACATCGACGTGTACAGCGCCAGCTGGGGTCCCGACGACGACGGTCGCACCGTGGACGGGCCGGCCACGCTCGCTCGCCGGGCCCTCGAGACCGGCATCCGCAAGGTACACGGACCCCCACGGAATCCCACAGACCCCACACAGACCCCCACAGACCCCCACGGACCCCCCCCCTCCAGGCCCCACACTGACCCCCACAGATCCCCCCCCCTGGCCCCACACTGACCCCCACAGACCCCCCTCCCCCTGGCCCCCACGCGGGGAGTCTGCACCTGGCCAGGGAGTCTGGGGAGTCTCGTGGCACTCGGCAACCACCCTGGGTGAGATTAGAGAGGAAATAGACTTCTGTGTTTGTGTGCGTACTTGTGTGTTTGTTTGTGTGTATAGTCCTTTGTAATTGCTGTGTATAGTCAGCACGTGGACATGCACGTGTGTGTATAGTACCACGAGGAACACTAAACCATGGTCCGCGTAACTTTGCACTGCCCCAAATAAACATTTGAAGGGGCGCTGGGTGAGTGGCTGTGTCTGCAATTCACCAACTCCTAGTGCGTAGCGGCCTTAACGGACCCCGATCAACGCCGTCTATGACCAGCAGCCCACATTGTGATCCTGCTGCTGCTGCTGCTGCTGCTCTTGATGCTGCTGTTGCTGCTTTTGCTGCACCCGCGCGATGCGCCTACCGGTGGCAGATTTTATGGCTCCATCGTCGAGTCTGAAGCAGACTTCCAGCGAGCTCGCCGCGTGTGTCGTCAGCGTGGCGAATTTCGCGATGCACTTGGGCTCGTAGAAGCGTGCGATAACAAACGCTCAGACTGTTCTGACTCGCTTAGAACCGAGTCTCCTAACGAGTTTGCTCTGCATCGACCCAACGCGACGGCGTCACCCTCCAGCGCCACTGAGCCGTGCCATGCTCGTGTCGCGTGCCCAGGGCCGGGGCGGTCTCGGATCCATCTACGTGTGGGCCTCGGGCAACGGCGGGCGCAGCCGCGACCACTGCTCGTGCGACGGCTACACCAACAGCATCTTCACCATCTCCATCTCGAGCTCCACGGAGAGCGGCAAGAAGCCCTGGTATCTGGAGGAGTGCGCCTCTACGCTGGCCACCACCTACAGCAGCGGCGAGGCCTATGACCGCAAGATCGTGAGTGGAGCCTCCACCACCTCCATCAGAGACCAAACACAGACGCGTTTTCCCTGTCAGCCCGAGGTCCGTTATCAGCACTGTGCAGTATCCTGCAGGAGAGGTCAACGCAATAACAACCAGAGCTCAGTGTTAAACGTTGCACCGAACGTTGCGGGCCGAGTTGGGGGTGCGAGGGTTGGGTTCACAGCGTGCACGCATCTTCAGCCGTGCGTCTGTGTGTGTCGCCGTGGCGTAGTCGGTGCTGTCTATAGGGGGTTGCGGGGCCCTGACCCCTTCAAACTAAACCGCAGTATTACAACTGACACCGTGACCTCAAAGCGCGGGGCCCGGGGCGGTCGCCCCAATTCGCCGTATCCTGGGGACGGCTTTGGGCGTAGCTATCGGGAGCGCAGGCCGCAATAGGCAAGCGTGCGTGAGTGTCGGTGTGGCACATTGGGGGGCACAGGCGGGATATCTTCCAGTCATCTAGTCGGTCAGGCCACGGCACCTGGGTATTGTCCCGTGACCTGCCAACAAGCAACCCTTCGACGCTCCACGTGGCCTCAAGGCGCACCTATTCTGGTACAAGCACCGCCACTCGGTGGCGAACGGCGGACGTTGTTCCAGAGGTCGACGGGGCCGCGTGTGCGTCTGCGAGCGTGGCTGGCGCCACCGTCTGCCGGGGCCTTGTCGTTGTTCACGCGGCCACTGAGCACGGTCGCCCACGTGAGGACGACGACGTGACGCGGGCCAGCGACAAACAGCCCCCCGCGTGCTTTGCGCGAGCGTAGATCACGACGGACCTGCGGCAGAAGTGCACGGACGGCCACACGGGCACCTCGGCGTCTGCGCCCATGGCGGCCGGGATCATCGCCCTTGCCCTCGAGGCCAAGTGAGTGGGCGGGGGCGGGCGGGGGGGGGTGCAGGTTTGGTTTCGAGTTGAGCCAGGCAAGGACTTAAGAGACCAGGGGAGGAGACTAATTTGCAAGAGTTACCTGGGTCACCAAAGTTATAAAGGCACATGTGCACGTGCGTGCGTACTTGCATGCGAGACGTGTGCGTGGGTGTGTGAGGGTGCGCACGCGTGAAGGGGTGTGCGTGGTGCAGAGTGTGAGCGCAATGGTGTAAGTGTGAGGGTTGGTGTATCTGCCACTCCTAATCACATCTGTCAGTCAACACCATAACACCTGGGTCTATCCCACTGACCTCCTGCCAGCGATGTTTCCACCGCTTCACGTGGAATCAATGAGGGGGCATGCGAGCTGGCACAATCGCCGTGGTGACATCACCGTCACGTATTGCCAAGATGTGGTTCCTGTTGCTGATGTTATTGGAGTTTGAGCGTTTGCATGGATGTGTGATGTGCCTGTAGGGGTGTGTGTGTGTACTTGTGTGTGGGGAGCGGTGGGGTAGTGGTTAGCGCGACGCTGCACTATGAACTCGGCGACCCGAGTTCGATTCCCGCTCACAACCAACACCGGTGACGATTATCTGAAACCAGTCCTGGGCCTCCCCTAGGTCAACTAGAATTTACACGAGTACCTGGTGTATAAACATCACCATGAGAGAGACAAACATGGCCGGGCATGGTTGCTGGCCAGCCACCCCCTCGTCCTGACCTTCATCGGTGCTACTCGCTAACAAAACTTGCCCCAACAGTCCGTTAAAGGCTATACAGGGGATCTTTGTCTTTGTTGTGCGTGCGTTCAGCCCCGGGCTGACGTGGCGCGACGTGCAGCACATCGTGGTGAAGACGTCGCGCTCAAACAACCTCCACGCTCCCGACTGGAAAACCAACGGGGCCGGACACCGGGGTACCACACACACTCGCACACACACACACACGTACACACGCGCACACACGCACACGCACGCACACACACTCGCACACACACACGCACGCACGCACACACGCACACACACACACGCACACACGCACACACACGCGCACAAAACAAAGAAACAAAGATCCCCCATATAGACTGAACTGACTGTTGGGGCGAGTGCTGTTAGCGAGAACCTATGAAGGCCGGCACGGGATACGAGGGGGTGGGTGGCCAGCACCACGCCCTGTGGTCTTCGTCTCCCTAGTGACGATGTTTACACACTGCACCAGGTACTTATTTGAGGCCGAGTCGACCTAGGGGAGGCCCAGGACCGGTTCCGATATGTGTCACTGCATGTACACACACACGCACACACACGCACACACGCACGCACTACGTGCACAGTGTGCACCACACACACGTAGGCACAGCGGCAGAGCGAGCAACTTGCAGTCAGAAGGCTCAAATCCTGCTTGGGGGTTGACTCAGCGCATCATCATCATCATTATCCATCTGGGGGTCAATAAAATCAGTACCACTTTGAAGGGCAGTTAAAAGTAGTTGTATATACTTGCCTCCGACATAGGAATATCGAATTTCCAGCACTGGCTCTAAGCTCTGACTAGAAGATGTGCACCACCTCAAGTAACCACATTCACTGCTTGTACCTCTTACCCGTGGTCCCCCCCCCCCCCACCTTGCCCCCACAGTGAGCCACCTGTACGGGTTTGGGCTGATGGACGCGGGCGCCATGGTGATGGAGGCGGAGAAATGGCGGCCGCTGCCACCGCAGCACGTGTGCGTCGAGTCGGCGGAGCGCAGCAACCGGTCGGTGCCTCCAGCGCCAGCTCGCTCGCCCCACTCACCCCACTTACCCCACTCACCCCACTCACCAGCGCCGGCACCGACACGCTCACCCCACTCACCCTCACCAGCACCAGCACGCTCACCCCACTCACCCTCACCAGCACCGGCACGCTCACCCCACTCACCCTCACCAGCACCGGCACGCTCACCCCACTCACCCCCACCAGCACTGGCACACTCACCCCACTCACCAGCACCGGCACACTCACCCCACTCACCCCCATCAGCACCGGCACTCACCCCACTCACCAGCACCGTCTCGCTCACCACACTCACCCTCACAAGCACCGTCATGCTCGCCCCACTCACCCTCACCAGCACCGTCACGCTCGCCCCACTCACCCTCACCCTCACCAGCACCGTCACGCTCGCCCCACTCACCCTCACCAGCACCGTCACGCTCGCCCCACTCACCCTCACCAGCACCGTCTCGCTCGCCCCACTCACCCTCACCAGCGCTGTCTCGCTCGCCCCACTCACCAGCACCGTCTCGCTCACCCCACTCACCCCACCAGCGCCGTCTCGCTCGCCCCACTCACCCTCACCAGCGCTGTCTCGCTCGCCCCACTCACCAGCACCGTCTCGCTCACCCCACTCACCCTCACCAGCACCGTCTCGCTCGCCCCATTCACCCTCACCAGCGCTGTCTCGCTCGCCCCACTCACCAGCACCGTCTCGCTCACCCCACTCACCTTCTCCAGCACCGGCTCGCTCACCCCACTCACCAGCACCGTCTCGCTCACCCCACTCACCCTCCGCAGCACCGTTTCGCTCACCCCACTCACCCCACCAGCACCGACACGCTCACCCCACTCACCCTCACCAGCGCTGTCTCGCTCGCCCCACTCACCAGCACCGTATCGCTCACCCCACTCACCCTCACCAGCACCGTCTCGCTCACCCCACTCACCTTCTCCAGCACCGGCTCGCTCACCCCACTCACCAGCACCGTCTCGCTCACCCCACTCACCCTCCGCAGCACCGTTTCGCTCACCCCACTCACCCCACCAGCACCGACACGCTCACCCCACTCACCCTCACCAGCACCGTCTCGCTCACCCCACTCACCAGCACTGTCTCGCTCACCCCACTCACCCCACCAGCGCCGTCTCGCTCACCCCACTCACCCCACCAGCACCGTCTCGCTCACCCCACTCACCCTCACCAGCACCGTCTCGCTCACCCCACTCACCCCACCAGCACCGTCTCGCTCACTTCACTCACCCTCACCAGCACCGTCTCGCTCACCCCACTCACCCCACTCACCCCACCAGCACCGTCTCGCTCACCCCACTCACCCCACCAGCACCGTCTCGCTTACCCCACTCACCCCACCAGCACCGTCTCGCTCACCCCACTCACCCCACCAGCACCGTCTCGCTCACCCCACTCACCCTCACCAGCACCGTCTCGCTCACCCCACTCACCCCACTCACCCCACCAGCACCGTCTCACTCACCCCACTCACCCCACCAGCACCGTCTCGCTCACCCCACTCACCCCACCAGCACCGTCTCGCTCACCCCACTCACCCCACCAGCACCGTCTCGCTCACCCCACTCACCCCACTCACCCCACCAGCACCGGCATGCTCACCCCACTCACCAGCACCGTCTCGCTCACCCCACTCACCCTCATCAGCGCCGTCTCGCTCACCCCACTCACCCCCACCAGCACCGGCTCGCTCACCCCACTCACCCCCATCAGCACCGTCTCGCTCACCCCACTCACCCTCACCAGCACCGTCTCGCTCACCCCACTCACCCCTACCATCACCGTCTCGCTCACCCCCCTCACCCTCACCAGCACCGTCTCGCTCACCCCACTCACCCCCATCAGCACCGTCTCGCTCACCCCACTCACCCCACCAGCACCGTCTCGCTCACCCCACTCACCCCACTCACCCCACCAGCACCGTCTCGCTCACCCCACTCACCCCACTCACCCCACTCACCCCACCAGTACCGTCTCGCTCACCCCACTCACCCCACCAGCACCGTCTCACTCACCCCACTCACCCCACTCACCCCACCAGCACCGTCTCGCTCACCCCACTCACCCCACTCACCCTCACCAGCACCGTCTCGCTCACCCCACTCACTCCACTCACCCCGCCAGCACCGTCTCGCTCACCCCACTCACCCTCACCAGCACCGTCTCGCTCACCCCACTCACCCCACCAGCACCGTCTCGCTCACCCCACTCACTCCACTCACCCCACCAGCACCGTCTCGCTCACCCCACTCACCCCACTCACCCCACTCACCCCACCAGCACCGTCTCGCTCACCCCACTCACCCTCACCAGCACCGTCTCGCTCACCCCACTCACCCCAAGCACCGTCTCGCTCACCCACTCACCCCACCAGCACCGTCTCGCTCACCCCACTCACCCCACCAGCACCGTCTCGCTCACCCCACTCACCCCACCAGCACCGTCTCGCTCACCCCACTCACCCCACTCACCCCACCCGCACCGGCATGCTCACCCCACTCACCAGCACCGTCTCGCTCACCCCACTCACCCTCATCAGCGCCGTCTCGCTCACCCCACTCACCCCCACCAGCACCGGCTCGCTCACCCCACTCACCCCCATCAGCACCGTCTCGCTCACCCCACTCACCCTCACCAGCACCGTCTCGCTCACCCCACTCACCCCTACCATCACCGTCTCGCTCACCCCACTCACCCTCACCAGCACCGTCTCGCTCACCCCACTCCCCCCCATCAGCACCGTCTCGCTCACCCCACTCACCCCACCAGCACCGTCTCGCTCACCCCACTCACCCCACTCGCCCCACCAGCACCGTCTCGCTCACCCCACTCACCCCACTCACCCCACTCACCCCACCAGTACCGTCTCGCTCACCCCACTCACCCTCACCAGCACCGTCTCGCTCACCCCACTCACCCCACCAGCACCGTCTCACTCACCCCACTCACCCCACTCACCCCACCAGCACCGTCTCGCTCACCCCACTCACCCCACTCACCCTCACCAGCACCGTCTCGCTCACCCCACTCACTCCACTCACCCCACCAGCACCGTCTCGCTCACCCCACTCACCCTCACCAGCACCGTCTCGCTCACCCCACTCAACCCACCAGCACCGTCTCGCTCACCCCACTCACTCCACTCACCCCACCAGCACCGTCTCGCTCACCCCACTCACCCCACTCACCCCACCAGCACCGTCTCGCTCACCCCACTCACCCTCACCAGTACCGTCTCGCTCACCCCACTCACCCCACCAGCACCGTCTCACTCACCCCACTCACCCTCACCAGCGCCGTCTCGCTCACCCCACTCACCTCCGCCAGCGCCGGCTTGCTCACCCCACTGGTGCCTGCAGCTACCTCTTTGCCAGCCACTTCCAGTCACTTCCTGTCGAGTGAAGCGGCAGAAGCAGATGGTCCCACGTGCTCTCACACTAATTCCAGGCCATCTTGTGGCCCAGAGAGTTTCAGAAATCTCTGCGTGATCCACAAACCTCTGCTGTTGGTGCTGTATGTTGGTGCTGTCTGTTGGTGCTGCTGGTGCTGTTGTTGGTGCAGCTGGTGCTGTTTGTTGGTGCTGTTGGTGCTGTCTGTTGGTGCTGTTGGTGCTGTCTGTTGGTGCTGCTGGTGCTGTCCGTTGGTGCTGTTGGTGCTGTCTGTTGGTGCTGTTGGTGCTGTCTGTTGGTGCTGTTGGTGCTGTCTGTTGGTGCTGCTGGTGCTGTCTGTTGGTGCAGTCTGTTGGTGCTGTCTGTTGGTGCTGTTGGTGCTGTCTGTTGGTGCTGTTGTTGGTGCTGTCTGTTGGTGCTGCCTGTTGGTGCTGCTGGTGCTGTTTGTTGGTGCTGTTGTTGGTGCTGTTTGTTGGTGCTGTTGGTGCTGTCTGTTGGTGCTGCTGGTGCTGTCTGTTGGTGCAGTCTGTTGGTGCTGTCTGTTGGTGCTGTTGGTGCTGTTGTTGGTGCTGTTTGTTGGTGCTGTTGGTGCTGTCTGTTGGTGCTGTTGTTGGTGCTGTCTGTTGGTGCTGCCTGTTGGTGCTGCTGGTGCTGTTTGTTGGTGCTGTTGTTGGTGCTGTTTGTTGGTGCTGTTGGTGCTGTCTGTTGGTGCTGCTGGTGCTGTCTGTTGGTGCAGTCTGTTGGTGCTGTCTGTTGGTGCTGTTGGTGCTGTTGTTGGTGCTGTTTGTTGGTGCTGTTGGTGCTGTCTGTTGGTGCTGCTGGTGCTGTCTGTTGGTGCAGTCTGTTGGTGCTGTCTGTTGGTGCTGTTGGTGCTGTCTGTTGGTGCTGTTGTTGGTGCTGTCTGTTTGTGCTGCCTGTTGGTGCTGCTGGTGCTGTTTGTTGGTGCTGTCTGTTGGTGCTGTTTGTTGGTGCTGTTTGTTGGTGCTGCTGGTGCTGTCTGTTGGTGCTGTTGGTGCTGTCTGTTGGTGCTGCTGGTGCTGTTTGTTGGTGCTGCTGGTGCTGTTTGTTAGTGCTGCTGCAGCAGCAGGTGCTGGGAGCCGCTGGGGAGGGACGAGCTTGGGTTGTGCAGACAGAACGGCGGCGGGAGGGAGGGGGGGGTCTAGAGACGAAACGGAAAACAAAACGAGGAATGCGTCTGGGGGCCGCAGCCTTGGCCTTGACTGCCTTGGCGCTGGGCCTCGCTCGGTGCTGGATCGAGGCCCCGGTGCTTGGAATCGTCCTGGGGGGGGGGGGGGGGCATAGCCACGGCAGCCCACACCTGTGTCCGTCGTCTGTGACGTTGTACGAAGCCGCATGCACACGGACCAATCGGATTATGAGATGCACCCGCCCCGCCCCCCAACTTATGCTTTAACTTAACTTGCAGAGGGCGTGATGATAATCTTTGGCAGAAGGCCTCAAGGTTGCATTTTTTCAGTGTCCTGCATTGCGATGCTTGGCCAATAATTTTGTAAATAGAGACTTGCCTTTTGTTGGAGTGCCCGGAGAAAATCCGCCACGCAACGATTCACAGACTGCACGAGTCTGCGGTGCTGTCCCCTGGCAGTACAACAAATCTTGCAACAAAGGCAAAAAGAAAGCCGGCATAGCCCTAACAGACTGTAGGGGAAAGTGCTGTCAGCGAGCACCTACGACGGCCAGCACGGTACACGAGGAGTGGGTGGCGAGCACCACGCCGGACCGCCTTTGTCTCCCCGGTGGCGATGTTTACACACCGCACCAGGTACTCATTTGAAGCGGAGGCCCAGGACCGGTTAAGATAATCATTACTGGTGTTGGCGGTGAGCGGGAATCGAACTGGGGTCGTTGGGTTCGAAGCGCAGGGCACTAACCACTATACTATCGCTCCCCACTAATCTCACAGCACTCGCTCACATCCGCACGTGCTACCAAGCGCCAGATCGCAGGCGTTGTTCATCATGGCACCTTGTCGGTAGCGGGGGGGGGGGAGGTTGAGTTCTCCCCCACCCTTCCGCCACTGGCCCCGTGCCTGCCAGCTGCACCGACCGTGCGGTGAGCGGCGTGGCCGTGGTGCCGCGCCGCCAAGTCCGCCGCGGTTCGGCACCGATTGCCGCGCGTCGACGTGGCATGGCGCTTGACGCCGTGCGCGGTGCGGTTGCTTGCGGCAGGCTCATCCGATCGAGCCAGACCCTCACGGCCGTGCACCAGGCCACGGGCTGCGCCGACAACGCGGTGCAGCGCGTCGTCTTCCTGGAGCACGTGGTGGTGCGCGTCACCATCTCCCACCCGCGTCGCGGCGACCTCTCCATCTACCTCACGTCGCCCTCCGGCACCAAGTCCCAGCTGCTGGCCAAGAGGTGCTTCCTCAATGCGCGACGGTCTCTCTTGCGACGCGGGTTGCTTTTGCACCGATTTCTATTTGCTTCGCTGCTGTGGTTTTACTTTTTTGTCATTTGCTTTGGACCTTGTTGGTGACCCGGGTCACTCTATCCCCCTCGTTTGGTGAAACACAATCAAGTCGACGCGCTGTGGAGTTTGGGCTTCAGTGCGGAACGCCACCTGCCGTGAACTCCACTGCGTGCGCACGTGCTACACGACGCGGGAGCGTCTCTCCTCGCACGTCAATGTGATCGTTCCACTCGTTCCACTCGTTTACCCGGGAACGCCTCACTGAGTCTCAAGACTCTTCTTCAGGAGGGTCCTGTCAGGCTTTCACAGCTGGGGGGCGATGATTGCTGCGCATTTCCCAATTAAGCAATTTTGCGAGTAATTTTTCGATTTTGGCAAAGTTGGACCACGATGCCGGCACACTATGGTTTGCTCTCTTCGTACGATGCCACTTAACATCCACCGACAAGCAGACGTGCGGTGGTGTTCCGGCTCGTACACCCACAGCATTAACCGGGGTGGCCGCCGGATTGGGGCCATGAACTCTTGCAACGACGAGCGGCGAGCGCGCTGCCGCTGGTCGCGTCACGAGCGCGGCGGTGATGTCACTTCCACGTAGCAGAAAATTACCGCGGTCGTGGTGGTTGTGGTTGTTGTGTGGGAGCCAGGGCCTTTGACAACTCCCAGGAGGGCTTCAAGAACTGGGAGTTCATGACGTCGCACTGCTGGGGAGAGAGAGCGGCCGGCACGTGGACGCTGGAGATCCACGACAACCCCTCCAACTACTTCCGCAACCCCCGCGTGCTGGGTGAGCCTGCCGCCCGCAACCACTAAGGCCACGACCGCGACGACCGCGACGATGGCAACGACGGCCAGCATCGGTGACGAATGTCTGAATCTGTCGACGCAGTCCCAAATGAGCACCTGTGCGGTGTGTAATATCGGCACCGGCCTTCATAGGTGCCGCTCGCTGAAGGCACTCGCCCCGACGGCTTGTCAAGGCCACACGAGGGATCTCCGCCTCTGCGTGCGCGTGCCAGGCAAGCTGAAGGAGTGGTCCCTGATCCTGCACGGCACGGCGGAGCCCCCCTACACGTGGCAGGGCGGCGCGGGGGGCCCTGCAGGGAAGGTGGAGCGCGACCGCTCGCCCGAGCCGGCCAACCCCACGGAGCACGCGGCGACGGCGCACGAAGCCGAATACGAGGACTACTCGGAGGAGACCGAGTACAGTGGTGATGCCGCCCCTCCCCCCACCCCATGCTCCCCCACGAGCCGTGCCCCCACTCTGCATCACCATGGTCCAATAAGGGACAGGTGGCTCGGGTTAGCAGGACTTAGCCCCTGCAAATGTAGTCATTTAAGGAAAACCTCAACGTATGTGTCAATAGCACCGTGGCTTTGAAATTATTTTCAGACAATGGCCCGTCACAGCACAGTCAATATCTATAGCCTCCCTATTTATAAGCTATGATGAAGGGGCTATTGTCCCTTCATCATAGCTGCCCGTCACCATTTCGGACACGAATTCAAAATCAAGAAAAAATTATTTAAAACCGTAGTTCAGCCCCCGAAGGGCAATACTCGTCTCTGCGTGTCCTCTTCCATCTCCCGAACGTCCGCCAACATGAGTGGCGAGCGATATCCAACCCCGTTCTGGGCCACTCCTTGATCAGTTCAGCCTTAAATGAGTACCTCGTACCAGTGGCGTAGCTAGGATATTTTGTGCCCGGGGACGAACTATAAAATTGGCGCCCCCCCCCCCCCCCCCCCCGTTTAATCACATACCAAAATGTAATTAGATGACATGTAGGCTGTGTGTGGCGGGATATATAAACTTTTAGATTAAGGTGTAGATTTGTGCAGTAGTTTCAGGCTGCCGCGCCCGCCGCAATAAGTTATAATGTAACGTTGTAAGCCTCATTTTGGCGCCCCTTTACCTTGGCGCCCGGGGACATGTGTACCCCCCTGCCCCCCCCCTAGCTACGCCTCTGCCTCGTACCGTCTATAAAACATACGTCAACATGAGCATTTGGGTGTCGATCTGGCCACACTCCTGCCTTGTACGCTACGCTGGTAGTAATAGGCGCTCGCAAACAGCATTGGCGTGCGTGCCGGTGCTTATGTACGTGTGCGCGCGTGTGTGTGTGTGTGTGCGTGTGTGTGCGCGCAAGCAGGGCTGTGTCATGCGGAGTGCGACAGCCAGGGCTGTGACGGCCCGGGCGAGGACCAGTGCATGAGCTGCGCCCGCTGGAGCCTGCGGCTGCGTGGCGGCGGGAGGTGAGTCTCACGAGTTGCCACTGCTGCCCCCTCCCCCACGGCCACCTCGCACCCTCCGCTCGCCTCCTCGATGGTCGTGGGTCGTGGGCGGCGAGTCGTGCGCTGGGCCACGCCAGCGTCTCGCGGTGTCTCCCGGCTCGTGCGTCGCGCGCTGGCAACGCCTTGTTGTTTCTGAGCGCCCGCTCGTGTCCCCCTCCCCACCCCGTCTGTGCCGCCCGTCCCCGGCGCGCGCAGGAAGTGCCTGTCGGAGTGCCCGGTCGGCTTCTTCGGCGACGGCGACACGCGGCGGTGCCGGCGGTGCGCGCGCGAGTGCCGGGCGTGCTCCGGCGCCGGCATCGAGCGCTGCTCCGAGTGCCGCACCGGATACTTCCGGCAGGAGGGGCCGGGCCCGCAGTGCGTGGCCGCCTGCAGCGACGGATTCTACCTGGACACAGGTGCGTGATGCCCATCGTCGTCGTCAGCCATGGTCCATCCACTGCTGGACGAAGGTCTCCCCAAGCCGCCACCGCTCCCACCTCCTCTCACGACACCTTCCTCGCAAGGATCTTGCGGCATTTGAAACAATGGCTGTGGTTTTTCAACCCCCCTCCCTCCCCCCCGCCCCCACCCCTTGCAGCGGCAATGATGTGCCGGCGGTGCACCGAGAGCTGCGAGCGCTGCGTGGGGGCGGCCGAGCGCTGCACGATGTGCCGCAACGGGCTCAGGTGAGCGAAGGCGACGTCGTGCGGGGGGGGGGGGGTCGTGTAGCCGAGATTAAATCGGTACGTATTGGTGCGTGTGTACCCGCACGATGTGCGTGTGTGTGTCGGCCTTAGTAGGCCGCTCGCATACACCACTTGCGTTTGTGTAACTTGTCACCGGATGAATCGCTGCTGCCCAACAACGATGGCAGCCTTTGTCTCTCTGTCGCGTGCGAGCTCTTCCACCGCAAGCCCTGCGTGTTCAATTTGACAAAGCGTCCGTCCACTCTGGCAGCCACTGCCCGTGACGTTCGCCTGCCGCTCTCGTCTCCGTTGCAAGGCGGTGCTCGTAACGAGCACGGTCACGGGCGCTGCCTGGCGCTGGTGTCACCCTGATCGTTCACAGCTCCTCATTGCTTCATTTGGACTCTCCCCGCGATCTGACGTGGGCGAGGAGGAGGAGGATTGACGCCGGTGAAGTTCGTAGATTCGGCCCCTGGCCCCGCGCTCGCTCAGCTTCGGATGCATCCAGCTCGCCGTCACGTAACACCCGTGGTTTTGTCACCGCACCCCTCCCATCCCCCCATCGTACCGTGTCCTCGCAGCCTCCACGGCTCCATGTGTGTGCCCAAGTGCCAGGAGAGGACCTACTTCAACCTGCAGGAGACGCGCTGCGAGCCCTGCCACCCGTCGTGCAACACCTGCGCAAGTAGGGCCCGCACCGACGCCTTCCACCGGCGACCTTGCGCTTCATGTCAGCCGCAACGATTAGCTGATCAGAACCTGGTTCCTGGAATTATTTCGGCGTGCCAGATCCACCTCGCCTCATTCTGTACCTCGTTGTACCCTACATTCTGGTCAACCTCACAGGATTGTCGGATTTTCTGGTACAGTAATGCAGGATTGTAAACGATAGCGGGTAGTGCCTTGCGCCCATAGACCCTTACCTTGAAGCCAGCCTGGAAGTGTTCCGCAAAGTCTCGAGTGAGAAACAAACCCGCGCCTCCGGCTCATCAAGGCCGAACCTTTTTGGTCACGAATGTACAAAACGGTACAGATGGAATCGTACAATTTGGAATTATACAGCTTCTCAATACAACTGCATCTAAGATGCTGTACAAAAACAAGCATGGCATGGCAATCATGTGTATGGTTTTATATATATAACAAAAAATATTGTCGTAAATGTATGCTAGAGAAAAGGCAATCGGTCATAAGCAAAAAAGAAGTGTCATTTCTTAAACCTGGACCTGACCAGGGGCGGGGAATCGACAGCATTGGTGGCTAGGGGCAGAGAGTTACATACTTTTTTGGGGAGCAGCAGCAGGGAAGGAAGAGCAAATGTAGTGATTTTCCATCTCTTTCTCTGACCACCTCGTCCCGTGCTGGTCTCACGCAGCCACTAATCAATCTCACGCCACCTGCCGGCCAAGGTCACGCGCTACGCCATCTCGCATTCGAGAGGTCTGCACCCCCCCCCCCCCCTGCTAAGCGGATACTTGACCTTTGACCCAACAATTATGTGAATCATTATTTTACACTCCTCACGCGGGATAGAGCGAAAGGAGGGTCCAAGACAACAATGTTGATGGCTCTTTCCTCTCTGGATTCCTTGCACCCACCAGCGATCCCTGGGCTCTCATTTCCACCTTTTGGAGGCCCCTGAAGCCAGAAAGCACTGCTTGGCTCCCTGCTAAAGCCTCCCCATGCATCCCTAAGAATGGTCAGGCCCTCGGCCTCCTCGTGACCCCGTGACCTCGTGACGCGATCTCTCCGCGTGCCAAGTGCGCTCCTTCATGCGCCGTGTGCGCTCGTGTGCACGTACTGGCACAGGTAGCGCAAATGATAATCATCTTTTGATTTAAAGCTTTCATGACTGCAGGGATTCATATTCTTGGTTCTTTCGGTAAAGTCACGTAGAAGGGAAACAATACAATAATACAAATATAAAACATTATTTTTTTTATTTTTTTTATTTTGTGACTTTACCGAAAGAACCAAGAATATGACAATCATTTGTCGATCAACCCGTTACACCTGGGTCTGTCCCCAGCCAGCGAGCATTCTACACTTCACGTGATGGCATCAGTGGACTTAGCCTGCCACAAGCGCCATGGTGAATTCACCAGCACTTAGTGGTGAATGGCGGCTGTTGTTCATGGGTGTGTGCATGCCTACGTGTGTGATGCATGTGAGTGTGCGTATGTACGCGTGGGGAGTGGTGGCGCAGTGGTTAGTGCACTGTGCTGCACACCCAAGTTAACATCAGTGGCAAATATCTGAAGCAGTTGTGGGCAGCCTGCCCTAGGCCGATGCAACCTTTAAAATAAGTACCTGGTGCAGTATGTCAGCATCAGCACGGGGGAGATTAAGATAACTGGGCTTGGTTCTGGCCACACACCCGCCAACCTATCCCCATCGACCTCATGTGCCGCACCGGTCCTTCATAGGCGCTCGCGGACAGCACTTGCCCCAGCAGTCTGTGTGTCTACACGGGGGGTCTTTGTATTTGTTTGTGGTCCCCAGCCGGGGGGGAGTACTCGTGCCTGAAGTGTGCGGCCGGCTACCTGAGGCAGGACGGGATCTGCGTGCCGGACTGCAGCCCCAGCTACTACCGCGAGGAGGTGGAGGAGGGCGCCGAGCCCAGCTGCGACAAGTACGAGCGCCCTGCGCAAGCAGGCACCCTGCGCACAATGGCACCAGCAGCACGCAGACACCCGCCGCACACACACGCACTCCCTACGTAAATGCGCCATACACGTAACCCATGCACACAGCCACCCTGTCTACACATTGCCATCCTGCATGTAGGCCGCATTTAGAACCACCCCGAACGTGCTGCACCCCGTACGCAACGCAGAGCACGAGTTCTGTGGGACGTGTGCCCGCCTGCAGGTGCGAGGTGAGCTGCGTGACGTGCAGCGGACCCACGGATCGCAGCTGCACCAGCTGCAGCGAGGGCCAGAGCCTGGAGGCCGGGGCGTGCGTGGCCGTGTACACCTGCCGCGACTGTACGAGCACCACGCCGACAGCGCACCTCGCGCACCGCCTCGCGCACCCCCAGCCCGTCGCGCACGCACGCCCTAATCTCTCCCCCGCCCGCCCCCGTTGTGCGCAGCGAGCGGAGAGACGGTGAACACCAGCTTCTGCTACCTGGTCAAGGTGAACAACCTCTGCAGCAGGAAGGTCCTTGCAGCAGCTCTGCTGCAGGACCTGCTCCAACCTCGGCTAAGTCAAGCGGCCCTGCTGCCCGCCGTCGTCCCTTGGCCCACCGTCGCTCGCCGGCTCCACCCTCGGCCACCTCCACCGGTCGTCGCGGGGCCCGGTCCGGCGTGGGGCGTCCCACTTCCCCCGAGGGTCGAGGGACGTCTCCTCGGATTGTCCGTGGTCTCGTCGAGGCTTTCCCCTGGTTTCCCCGGGGCCTCGTGGGCGGCGGCGGTTTTGTGGGGGCGCGGGGAGGTGACAGGGCCTGCTCTTCCGGCCAGGTTTCACTTCCCGGAGAATTTTCCTCTCGGCCCTTAATGGCCAAACTTTACTAAACAACAAAAAACAACACGAGGAAATGTTTTGAACGGGGTGGAAATAAATGGCAAAAGAAATATCGGCAACAGCAGCCACGACGGAGCGAGTCGTTAAGGGGTGACGGCCCAGTGGCTCGTTTCTTTCCTTTGCTCAGGTGAGCGCCTCGGAGGGGCCGCTGGGTTGGAGCAGGCAGCGGCACCGGCTGGAGGAGGCCGTTCCGGTGCCGCCGTCGAGCCTGGCCTCTGGCTGGGCCGGGAGCCCTGCCCAGCGCCACGCTGCCCCGTCCCGGCGCCCAGGTGCACGGCGTTCAGGGGTCGGCGGCGGCGGTGGCAGCGCGCAAAATCGCAATTCCATCGCTCAGGGGCGGCTCTGCTCTCAAATGCGCCAGCTCTCTAATCACGATGATGATGATGATACGTGATAATAACCAGGGCTTGATTCAAGCTGGAGCTGTGTCCAGAGCTGAGCTCTGGGAAATACCCCACGAGAGATAGAGCCCTCTTTATAATGACGATTAGAGCAAAATTTTGGGAGGGGTGTTGGGCGGGGAAAATTCAATTGATGAGGCGGTCATACATTGCGCTGTTGCTCTAACCAGGTTTCACCGAAGCGCCATATACATACTTTGTTCTATAAATCACGAGGTCATAAGTAATCTAGAGCTAGCTGTGATTTACTCAGAAAATAAATCTATATATATAAATATGTATTGTATATATTTTTTTCTGTAGTGTCCTACAGAGAGCGAGCGAGAGGTGCTCTTCACTGCATTCCGCTTGTGCCGTCGCTCTGTGGAGCGTGGTTCTGGGGGTGGGGGGTGGTCGATGTGAAGAGGGGGGTAGGTGGGTGGGTCGCGGAGGGGCCGCCCGCGCGATGACCTTTCCCCGACCCCCTTTCCTCCCACCGGTCTCCATTCAAATCCGATCGGCACCTCGTGCCCCCACCCCTCGTCTCACGGCAATCAAAGCCACGGTTCGACTCGCGACTCGGTGTGGCGGGCGGGGGGGTCCCGCTTACCGTGCAGCCAATTAACTTATTAAAGTGACGTCAGCTGCACGCGGCAGGGCACAACCAAGTGGCGGACTGCGACGTCCTCGTGTTAGGGGTTCCGCTCTGCTGTATTATTTTGGGAGCGTTCACTTCGCGAGAGATTAATGCCAAGTACGACGACCAGATTCCATTTTTAATTATAGCCTTTTTTGTTTATTATTATTTTACATGTCCGTGGTGTTTGTATAGAAAATGTTATTATTGTTATTATTGTATTGTAGGTGAATATTAGACGATGTATTAATTAGGCTATTTCACACGAAACTCAAATAAATGAATAAGGTGGTGACTCGACGTCGCTGTGTCACGCGCGGAGCAGAGGAGTACGTGGATCAGAGGTGGGGAGTGCGTGGGTCAGGGGTGGGGTGTGCGTGGGGCAGAGGTGGGTGTGCGTGGGTCAGGGGTGGGGAGTGCGTAGGTCAGGGGTGGGGTGTGCGTGGGTCAGGGGTGGGGAGTGCGTGGGGCAGGGGTAGAGGGTGCGTGGGTCAGGGGTGGGGAGTGCGTGGGTCAGGGGTGGGGAGTGCGTGGGGCAGGGGTGGGGTGTGCGTGGGTCAGGGGTGGGGTGTGCGTGGGGCAGGGGTGGGGAGTGCGTGGGGCAGAGGTGAGGAGTGCGTGGGTCAGGGGTGGGGAGTGCGTGGCAGTGGGGCAGAGGTGGGGAGTGCGTGGGTCAGGGGTGGGGAGTGCGTGGGGCAGAGGTGGGGAGTGCGTGGGTCAGGGGTGGGGAGTGCGTGGGGCAGGGATGGGTGTGCGTGGGTCAGGGGTGGGGAGTGCGTGGGTCAGGGGTGGGGAGTGCGTGGGTCATAGGGTGGGGAGTGCGTGGGGCAGGGGTGGGTATGCGTGGGTCAGAGGTAGAGTGTGCGTGGGTCAGGGGTGGGGTGTGCGTGGGGCAGGGGTGGGGTGTGCGTGGGGCAGGGGTGATGATTGGGGACGTTGATGATGGTGCTGGACCCCTATGGAGGGGTTCTGTCCCCCACTGGTGTCACGTGACGTGGCGTGCTCTGGGGTCGTGGAATTCACCCCGCGGTGGAGAGGGGCGGGGGACGCGGGGGCTCTGTGACGTCAGAGCGTCGGGGGTGTGAGAAGAGTGTGCCGGCCTAAATAGGTGCTCGCTAACAACATTTGCCGCAACCGTCTGTTCAGGATTGTAGGGATGGGGGCGTTGTATTGCATGGGAGGATGAGTGTACACCCATGGACGTGTGAAACCATTTATGTGTGCGAGTGTGTGTATGGGAATGTGTGGACATGTGGAGGTGCTGGCCATCCACCCCCTCGTGTAGCGGTTCCGGCCTTATCTCGATCCTCACTAACAGAACTTGGCTCAACAGTCTCTTGAAAGGCAACACTGGAGGGGAGGGGTCTTTGTGTACGCGTGGGTGCGTGCACGTATGAGTGTGTGAGTGCCCGCGTGTGGACAAGTGAGCGTGTTCACGTTGTGGCGATGGGAGGGGTCGCATTGGCTCTTGCGAGGAGGAGGAGGGGGGGGGGTCTCGGCCACTGTAACAAACAAAACGCGACGCCGCGCACAGAGCGAGACGCACAGAGCGGGCTTTGTGCGACCGGGACACCCCTCCGTCTCCTCCTCCTCCCTCTCGCCTCTGCTCCCCCTGCTCCCCCCGAGTCCCTTGGCCCTCCTTTTCTCCTCTCCATCCCTCTCCTCCATCTCCTCCCTCTCTCTCCCATCTCCTCCGCCTCCTCCTCTCATCTATCCACCCTCTCTTCCCCCATCTCACTCTCATCCGTTGCATCCCACTTCTCCATCTCCCATGCGTCTCCCTCGCCCCTTCTACATCTCCCTTCTCTCTTCTCATCCCTCACTCGTCTCCCCTCTCATCCTTCTCTCCATCATGCGTCATCCATCCTCCACCTTCTCTCCTATTCCGAACAACCGCTCACTCTGTTCGGAACACAAGCACCTGGATCGAGTCTCGAGTGGGGGAGCAAGTGGAGAGGAGCAGGAACGCGGTTCCCATCCCATAGATCGTGCCAACGAATACACTCTGCTCTGAAGAAGGGCCATTGCCCGAAACGTCGCCTCGTATATGACGATCTCGTTGAGGGGGCAGTGCTGTTGAGATGCGTTGTGCGTCGCCACGTGCCTGGCTCGCGCTGCACGTCGGATCGTCTGCTGCCTCTTGACGCAGAGGCGACGCGACGTTTTGGGGCTCCACCCGAGTCTCGCGTGACCCCCGTGTGTGCGAGTCGGCGTTCACCACAAGTCGATGTTCACCACGAGTCGATGTTCACCACGAGTCGGTGTTCACCACGAGTCGACGTACACCACGAGTCGGTGTTCACCACGAGTCGATGTTCACCACGAGTCGATGTGCACCACGAGTCGATGTTCACCACGAGTCGGTGTTCACCACGAGTCGACGTGCACCACGAGTCGGTGTTCACCACGAGTCGATGTTCACCACGAGTCGATGTGCACCACGAGTCGATGTGCACCACGAGTCGATGTGCACGACGAGTCGATGTGCACCACGAGTCGATGTTCACCACGAGTCGATGTTCACCACGAGTCGATGTGCACCACGAGTCGATGTGCACCACGAGTCGATGTACACCACGAGTTGATGTGCACCACGAGTCGATGTGCACCACGAGTCGATGTTCACCACGAGTCGATGTGCACCACGAGTCGATGTTCACCACGAGTCGATGTACACCACGAGTCGATGTACACCACGAGTCGATGTTCACCACGAGTCGATGTGCACCACGAGTCGATGTGCACCACGAGTCGATGTGCACCACGAGTCGATGTTCACCACGAGTCGATGTTCACCACGAGTCGATGTGCACCACGAGTCGATGTTCACCACGAGTCGATGTTCACCACGAGTCGATGTGCACCACGAGTCGATGTGCACCACGAGTCGATGTTCACCACGAGTCGATGTGCACCACGAGTCGATGTTCACCACGAGTCGATGTTCACCACGAGTTGATGTGCACAGCGAGCGCCCAGACGGAGCGGTGACCCCCTCCAGGTATCAATGGGTCCTTTAAGCAGCTGGCACTCCCCACCCACGGCAACCTGGAGACGAACCATGCACTTAACGTCACACTCGGATTTAAACCAAGCGCGTGACTTCCCATCCGCGTGATGTGTCGCGAAGCGACGATGCTGCCCTGGACTTGTTTTATGTTTAGGGCTTCTTTTCAGGAGGATCCTGCGTGACTCGCTTTGCACAAATCCCCTAAACGGAGCCGCGTCGTCGTCACCTGGGGGGTTCCATGCCAGGTGCGGGTCTCCATCGGCCATCGGGGCTACACCGTGGGGTTGAGGGTTAGACTCCAGGCGCGAAATGCCAATGTCGACGTCTGATAGCAACGACGAGAGGGCTTCAGGAGAGAGGGTTCGTGGGGGTTGTGCGGCGACTCCTTTGTTGAAGAAGCACAGACTACATAGAGGTGGCTGTATGGTCCATAGTTGGGCTATACGGGGTAGAACGCGTTGGGCAGGTGATGAGAGGATGGGGGAAGCAGGGAAGGAAGACGATTTACGCCTACAACGGCGCAGCTGATTTCCTCTGCCACTCTCAGAGAGACGCCTTGATTTAACCACACGCAGGCCCAGAGGCTTGCTGTCGCAATGCAATAGCGGTACTACTCCAGCGATGACTGATTCTCGCTGAATGGAGGAGGTTTCACCGAGTCTCGGGATGAGAGGCTATAAACACTCAACAAGCTGCTGACACAGGATCGCTGGGTCTCCTACTATAACCCTGGAGATGTGGAGGGAGGGAGAGGGTCCACTGAACTTTGACCTCTTGAAAACAAACCCGCACCCCTTGACCCTAGCCCGACACGCGTCCTAATCCAAGGCGCCATCCTGGGGTCTCTGGAATGGATTCACAATCGGGAAGGATTCCAATTTGTCGAAGCTGTCCCAGCGTGGTCGCGCCGGCAATGTAACTCGCACTGCGAGCCGCCCGCGTTCACCGTGGAACACACGACGCTCGCTCATCGCCAGTCGCTGTGGAGCGTCGCGAGCGAGTGGACGCCACGCGAAGCGCCTCCTCCCCGCGCGCTGTGCGCCTCGACTCGCGCCTCGTCAGCCACGCGGCTCTCTGCGGTCACATCGGCGCGAGCCGGGCTTGTTCAGAGCGATGCTGGCGAACTGGCAGATGTTTATGGGCAATGAACCATCCCTGTGAGATTATGGCTGGTAGTTCGTCGCAAGAGTACCCGATACACGTGTGTGTGCTGTGTGGGTACTGTGTGTGTGCTGTGTGGGTACTGTGTGTGTGCTGTATGGGTACTGTGTGTGTGCTGTGTGGGTACTGTGTGTGTGCTGTGTGGGTACTGTGCGTGTGCTGTGTGGGTACTGTTGTGTGTGCTGTGTGGGTACTGTGTGTGTGCTGTGTGGGTACTGTGTGTGTGCTGTGTGGGTACTGTGTGTGTGCTGTGTGGGTACTGTGTGTGTGCTGTGTGGGTATTGTGTGTGTGTGTGCTGTGTGGGTACTGTGTGTTTGCTGTGTGGGTACTGTGCGTGTGCTGTGTGGGTACTGTGTGTGTGTGCTGTGTGGGTACTGTGTGTGTGCTGTGTGGGTACTGTGTGTGTGTGTGCTGTGTGGGTACTGTGTGTGCTGTGTGGGTACTGTGCGTGTGCTGTGTGGGTACTGTGCGTGTGCTGTGTGGGTACTGTGTGTGTGCTGTGTGGGTACTGTGTGTGTGCTGTGTGGGTACTGTGTGTGTGTGTGCTGTGTGGGTACTGTGCGTGTGCTGTGTGGGTACTTGTATGTGCTGTGTGGGTACTGTGTGTGTGCTGTGTGGGTACTGTGTGTGTGTGTGCTGTGTGGGTACTGTGTGTGTGTGTGCTGTGTGGGTACTGTGTGTGTGTGTGCTGTGTGGGTACTGTGTGTGTGCTGTGTGGGTTACTGTGTATGCGGTGCGTGTACTGCCTGTGCTGCGGGTTTTTGAGATGCTGCGAGTGGCTATGAGTCAGTGTCTGCTCACGGAGGTGTGGGTTTCATTCAGGCTGCTGCATTCCTGGGCTGACGGGAACCCAGGCTGAGGTTTAAACACAGACACAACACACACACACAGTTTACACACACACAACACACACACAGTTTACACACACACAGTTTACACACACACACACAGTTTACACACACACAACACACATACAGTTTACACACACACGTCAAGCTAACACACACACACAGTTTACACACACACAGTTTACACACACACAGTTCACACACACAACACACCCACACAGTTCACACACACACACAGTTCACACACACACACAGTTTACACACACACACAGTTCACACACACACACACAGTTCACACACACACACAGTTCACACACACACACACAGTTCACACACACACACAGTTCACACATACAGTTTACACACACACGTCAAGCTAACACACACACGACAGGCACATTAAACACCCCAACAACAGACAATGCACACACAGGAACACAATACCCGTAACACATCCGCATACTCTCAACATGCACACCGACACATTAACACAACAACAACAACGACCGCCGATCGCCACTAAGTGCTGGCGGTGACATCATCGCGGCTCTTGTGCCAGGCTACGTGCACACACACGCAGCGAATCCCGTTAGTCAGTGGCACGCATCCCCTGCGGGCGCGAGACGTGGCCAGACTTAGTTTTTTATTAGAAAGTAAATCATCGAACACACACATTCAGCACGGGCACCAAAGCACAGCAACTTTGTTTCATCAACACCTATGTATCTGTTTACACCGTACACAGTTTTTAACGAGTGTGAAAACCACAGGGGTGGCGAGGCTGCGGTGAAGATGACGAGGAATCCGCGCACTGATCCAGGCGGGGCGAGTCGCCCCTGGGGCTGCGTGGCGGCTGCGACGCGCCTCGAGTCCCGGAGACATTCCGACTCCCACTCGCATCATCACCGCCGCCGCATTCCGCCTCTCACGCAGTTCCCTTCACACGGACAAAGAGCAACATCCCCTACATCGCCTTCGCAGACTGTTGGGGCAAGTTAGCGGGCGGCACCTGTGAAGATCGGAACCAGCGGCGCATGATGGGGTGTGTGGCCAACACCACACCCAGCCGTCTTTGTCTCACCAGTGCTGATGTGTGCACACCGCACCGGGTACTCGATTGAGGCTGAGTCGACCTTGGAAGAGTCCCAAGACCCCCTCCAGCACCCCCCCCCCCCCCATTGCATCTCCCCCATCTCTCTCACAACCCCCTCCAGCCACCCTCAATCTTCCACCCCCTCCTCCTCCGTTCTCTCTCCACCCTCCCCGTGCCCATCACCGCGTGCCCCCCCCCCCCACGCCGTGCCCGTGCGCTCCCTCGCCGAGGTGAGGAGCGAGGGGGGGGGCTGCAGCCCGCTGATCCCTCGCGATGTGGAATGTTGCCTGCCAGACCGTGAGGTTCGCTTACAAAGCATTCCCCCCGGGGCTCCAGCTCGCTCACCTACAGTGCGTGTACGTGTGTGTGTGTACGTGTGTATGTGTACGTATGTGCGTGTGTGTACGTGTGTACGTGTGTGTACGTGTGTGTACATGTGTGTGCGCGTGTGTGTGTGTAGGTCGACTCGACCTCAAATGAGTACCTGCTGACATGCGTAAACGTCGCAACTGGGGAGACAAAGGCGGCCGGGCTTGGTGCGAGCCACCCTGCCCTTCGTGTGCCGTGCCGGCCTTCATAGGTGCTACTCGCTAACAGCACTTGCCCCAACAGTCTGTTCAGGCTATCGGGGGATCTTTGTCTTTGTGTGTACGTGTGTGTCTACTAAGCTTTAAACGAGTAGCCAGAACGGTGTATGTAAACATCGACACTGGGGAGACAAAGGCGGCCGGGCGTGGGGCTGCTCTGTGACGGAATTAATAGGTGCTCGCTAACGGCACTTTACCCCAACAGTCTGTGAAAGTTATTCTTTGGTTCTTTCGGTTAAGTCACGTCTAAAGATAAAATAATAAATTAAATAATAGCATATTACGACGTTTCGATTGCAATACAATTAATCATCATCAGGCATAAAAGAAATAGCAACAAAAATCTAACTAGAAAACTATAGACAGACATACTATTATTTTATCTTTAGACGTGACTTAACCGAAAGAACCAAAGAATAATTCCTGCAGTCACGAAAGCTCCAAAATTAAGTCTGTGAAAGGTTAAACGGGAGTCTGTCCTCAGTGTTAGGCTGTGCCTGCACTTGCTGATGTTTATCGGCGTGCGTGCGTATATTGTTTGTGCGCGTAATGTGCACACGAGCAGCATTCCTCGGCACGTCTGGGGAGCTGCGGCTATCAGTGGCCCATCTGCCGGAGCCCTGGGCGCTGGCCCGGTCCCGTGATGCGGCTTCTCTGCTGCGACTGCTGCCGTCTCTGGCGCTGGGGGGAAGTTGGATCGCCACTGTTGGATCTCCTGTTGCTCGGGTGGTCTTTGCTGTTGTTGCCGCTGCGTCGACTGCTGATGTTGCTGTTCTTGCTGCGCTTCTCGTGTTATTTGCGTTTGTTATTCCTTCTGATGTGGCTACTGTTTAGGCCTGCTATTGACTGATGCTGTTGCTGCTGCTGCTATTGTTTCACTGCATTGTATTTCTGCATACGGTACAGCGCATACACGGTTACACACACGGGGTGGAGCGGTGGCGCAGTGGTTAGCGCACAGTGCTGGGTAACTGGCGCTGTGAGTCCGATTGCAGGTGACGACTAAGATCAGTGGCGAGTGACATCCCAACGGGTCCTGGGTGCCACCCCTCCCCCATCCCACAATCAACTCGCACCCACCAGCGTGGCGAAGTGTGGTCAAGCAGCCCCCTGACAACCGACACGACATGTGTAGTGGCCCCTGTCCCAGCACTGAGATTGGTGACGCGTTCTCGTGGATGGATGTGGTCCGCCGGGTCCTCTCTCCTTGGACGTTCCCCTCGCAACTCGAACGACGAGATGAGCCCAGTAACCGCCAGCATGCTGGGGCTCAGATCGGTGGTGAACTAAAATGTTGCTGCTCCTGCTGCTGCTGTTATTTCCGCTGTTGGAGCCTCCTCCGTCACCCCGAATTCCGCGCTAAACTCAGAGACCCCCCCCCCCTCTCTATTTTTATGACCCCGCTATTTAAAAAACACAGCTGGCCCCGCGAGATTTGTGGGGACAGCCACGATGGTGGTGGTGGTGGTGCAGCCTCGCGGGCAACCCCCCTGCCCCCACCAACAATGGGAGAGGTTTATGCGGGGAGGGGGGGGGGAGGTATTTTCCGGAGCTCAGTCCCGGATGAAATGAAGCCGTGCCGTGGAACTGACTCTTCGTTAAAACGAACTGAACACCATCGTCAATAAGCGTTGCGTCGCATTAAAGGACACGCATAATAGGCGACGTTTCGGGAAATGGCACATAAACTTGACTCGTAATACATTGCGTGTGCTGTTACCTGTGTGGTGTGTGTGTTACCTGTGTGGTGTTACCTGTGTAGTGTGTGGTGTTACCTGTGTGTGTTACCTGTGTGTGTTACCTGTGTAGTGTGTGGTGTTACCTGTGTGGTGTTACCTGTGTAGTGTGTGGTGTTACCTGTGTTGTGTTACCTGTGTGGTGTGTGGTGTTAGCTGTGTGTGTTACCTGTGTGTGTTACCTGTGTAGTGTGTGTGTTACCTGTGTGGTGTGTGTGTTACCTGCGTGGTGTTACCTGCGTGGTGTTACCTGTGTGGTGTTACCTGTGTGGTGTGTGTGTTACCTGTGTGTGGTGTTGCCTGTGGTGTTACCTGTGTGGTGTGTGTTACCTGTGTGGTGTGTGTGTTACCTGTGTGTGGTGTTGCCTGTGTGGTGTGTGTTACCTGTGTGGTGTGTGTTACCTGTGTGGTGTGTGTTACCTGTGTGTGGTGTTGCCTGTGTGGTGTGTGTTACCTGTGTGGTGTGTGTTACCTGTGTGTGTGTTACCTGTGTGTGTGTGTTACCTGTGTGGTGTGTGTGTTACCTATGTGGTGTGGGTGTGTTACCTGCAGGCGAGGGTTGTTGTGTGTGAGGGTGTGAGAATGTTCTTATCACAAAGATCGCCCCCGTATCGCCTTCAACAGACGGTAGGGACAAGTCCTGCTCGCCAGCACCTATGAAAGCCAGCACGGTACACGAGGGGTGGATCCAGCGCCACCTTTGTCTCCCCAGTGGCGATGTTTACACAGCGCACCGGGTACTGTATATGAGGCTGAGTCGACCTAAAGCGACCGGGCCACTCACTCCGTCGTGTAACGTGCCAACCTTCATCGGTTGCTACTCGCTAACAACACTTGCCCTAACAGTTTATGAAGGCTATACGGGTCATCTTTGTCTGTGCAACGGGAAGGGGCGTTCACTGTTGGCGGGGTGCAGGAGGGATCAGGTGAAAAAGGTGGGATCAGGTGGGATCAGGTGGGCTCACCCCCCCCCCCCCGGGTGAAACCATCGCGTGACAAGGGGGGGGGGGGTGGAATGTGGGGTTGCCGCTCACTTTCACCCGCGGCCCCAGTCAACGAGACGCGGCGTATGTCGCCTGCACGACAACCCCAATAACACATCGCGCCGCGCGCAACTGTAGATCCCTGCCTCGTCACAACATCACGGCTGATTTGTCTTATTTTTAAACCGACGTTTCGGCCAAGGGCCATTCTAAAGTCGTAAAGTGGACAGCAGTTGTAAGTTTGCGCTGCACGCTTGCGGAGGCTTACTTCGAACAAAGCGCGAGGCGGATCAAGTTTTTTGCGGTCACATTTTAAAGAGATTAACTCTCCCTCCCCCCCTCGCCACCCCTCCGAACACTCCCCATCCCGGAGTGGACGAGTCCACGTCGCGACGAGAATAAAGGTGCGCGGGTGAAGGCGGAGCCAAGCGGCCCGGGGACGCGGGGGGAGGAGTAGGAGGAGAGGGAGACCGACCGACTGGGAGTAGACGGGGAGGGAGTAGAGGAGGGAGAGGCGCTCGGGCACGAAGGAAGTTTGCGAGCGACTCTTGGAGAGCGAAGAACAAAGGCTCGAGAGGTCGGGCTCCCGGTTCGACACCGCGCTCCCGTCAGGAGTTTGCTGCTGCCGCTGCTGCCTTTGTGCGCGGAGCTCCCGAAGAGGGCGGCGGTGGTGGTGGTGCAGTCGGCGAGGGAGGGGCGGTGGAGACACTTGCCTACTGCGGGCGGTCAGGGAGGAGGCGAGAGGGCACGAGGGGCGAGAGGATCGTTTAGGGGAGGCGGAGGAGGCGAGAGTAGGGGAGAGTAGGGGAGAGGACACGACGCAGACGAAGAGATAATAAAGAGAAGGGACCACGAGAGGAGAAAAGTTCAGAGGAAGAGAGTCGAGGCTAAGAAAGAGTGAGGCGAGTATTTGGGGGAGTGGAAGAAGAAGAGGAGGAGGAAGAGGAGGAGGAGAGGGGAAAGAGGGCAACAGGGGAGCGAGCGAGAAGAACCGCAGAGGCAGCGCCATGGGTGCGGCCGGGCCCCGCACCTGGGTGCTCCCCCCGCTCCCCCGGCTCCCCCGCCTGCTGCTGCTGCTGCTCCTCCTCGGGGCCGCGGCGGCGGCGGCGGCGTCGTCTCTGCGGGAGCCCGCGGCGTGCCCGGCGCGTAGCTTCGCCCTGGACGGCAGCTGCCGGCCCTGCCACTCTTCGTGCGCCGAGTGCGATGGCAGCGAGAACTTCAACTGCACGGCGTGCCTCGTCGGTGGGTAGGCATCATCATCACGAACGTCGTCGTCGTGGGATGGAGCCACGGCTTCGGCAGCATCTTCATTACGATCATCACCATCACCACTCTCTCTGGCGGTCTCGACATCAGCGGTAGCATCACGATGACTAGCTATCCTCGTCTACATAGATGGCGACATTGGCATCGGGGTTATCCCGTTGTCATCAACATCGTCATCACCGTTAATTGTATAATCATCTAACGGATCGATATCATTACCATCCGCTTCATCAATAACTCTGTCGCCCGCATAATCGCGATCCACAACAACAACAACAACTTGCACTCCGTCAACTTCTCAACATCGCCATCCGTAACATCGTCCAGAGTAACGGGAACTGCAGCAGCGCGGCCACTCGCGGCATCGTCTCATCAGCATCGATATCTTCATCGGCAACAACGGTGCATCATCATCCTCGACGTCATCTGAATCGCCAACAAGTTTGTTAAACATCACCTAACGACCTCGTCTTCAGTAGTCCCATCACTACTATCATCACCGTCGTCACCTAGATCATCATCATCGTCATCACGCACGCACGGGTGTGCGGATTCGTCGATGATAATCCGCGGATGGGTTTAGGGACAAGCTACCATTGGGCGGTGCTTTAGGCCAAAATACGGGACGTGTCGCTCGTTGCGTTATGCCCGCGGTATGAAATCACGCGTTCGAATTCCTCCTTAAGCGCTTGCCAAGGGGGGGGGGGGGGCTGGGTCTGCATGCGTCCCGACCCTGGGCCCCCCCAGGGTCGGGACGCATGCGGACCCAGCCTGGTACACATCTGGGGATGCTGCATCCGTCCGTCCGTTTAAAGGGAACCCCGCGTCTGTCTCTGTCGCAAGGAGGGGGGGGGGGCTGAGTGGGAGCCGTGCTGAGCACCCCGCCCCCACCCCGCCCCCACCCCGCCCCCGCCCCCGCGCGGCTGGGTGATGGGAGTCGCGAACTGCTCACGTGCTCGCTCGCTCATTGTCTGCCTTGGAGGCGAGCGCGTCAGGCAGATGGGGGGGGGGGCGGGGGGGTGACGAGAGTGGAAACGCGGGGGCGGCCACCCAGCCGGACCCCTCGCGACGCCCCCATCCCCTGCTGACCTCTCCATAGTCGCGACCACCTCGCCTCGTCACCCGTGTCCACCTCGTCACCCGTGTCCACCTCACCTCGTCACCCGTGTGCACCTCACCTCGTCACCCGTGTCCACCTCGCCTCGTCACCCGTGTCCACCTCACCTCGTCACCCGTGTCCACCTCACCTCGTCACCCGTGTCCACCTCGCCTCGTCACCCGTGTCCACCTCGTCACCCGTGTCCACCTCACCTCGTCACCCGTGTCCACCTCGCCACACTCGCGACCCATAAAATCTGGGTCGTGGGTCAACTCGACCCAGGGTCTCCCCAGGGCTGATAGTTTCGTACGAAGCCGACGGTGGAGCTGGCCAATGGGAATGTGGCTCGGAGTGTTTTGATCGTGCTTGGATGGCTATTGTTGTGCTGTACCTCGATGCTTCCGTGTCTTCAACAACCGGCAATGATCAGCGTGAAACACGATCCGTAGGACGTGGGGAGGCACTCATCCAGCAGTGGATTAAGAAACGGGGCTGTACATGCGCATAAGAATGTGAATTTATACCACTGGCTCCTAGCCACCAATGGAGAAATAATTCCACATTCACGTGATGAGGACCAGTTTTTCTCAAAGGATGAACTCTTGACCTCTCTCAAAGTGTTCGTCATGTGATCGAAAACTAGACGGATGATGATGAGCCAAATCCCGACCGGCATTTGAAGTCGCTGCTAATCCAGTGGCGAGCTGCTGGCCGACCCCGAGGTTTGCTGCCCCCAGAGGTTGACACGGTCGGTCCAGTTGCTCGGCCGGTTTTTGAGGTTTTACATTAAAGTTAAATTGAAGATTAATAACGATACATTAACATTTTTATTTCAGATATATTTCATATTGTATAATGAGACCTTTGTGTTTCCCAAAAGCATTTACCGCCTCTGGAAATTCGTCCCCTCCAAAAATGATGAGCCGGACAGAGTGCCGCGGACAGATTTCACGAGGCGCGTCGCGCCTGGCTGCAGTCCACCCGGCTCCACACGCCTGGCCAGCGCTGCTTAGCCCCAGCGCGTGGTGGCTCGTCGCATACCGAGCCACGACCACCGACCAGCGCCTCGAAGTCATCGTGGCGACGGTGTCCCCCCCCCCCCCCCCCCCGGCTCTCCACCGCAGCCCTGCTGAGAGCTGTCCGACGACACGACCGTGGCCACAACCTCCTGGTCAAGTCCTTTGTTTAGCCAGGAAAGGCTCGCTATCGCCAGCGACCGGCTTGGAGTGTTTGGCACAGTGCCTTGTGGAGTGGGAGGAAACCGAGTCGCTGGGAGGGGGGGTGTGGAACAAAACCTCGGCTACAAGGCGATAACACTGCAAAACAATCGGGCGGCCTGGGTTGATGGCCCATTCGCCTGCCGTGTTTTCCCCGTAGAGGGATCTTATCTCTGTACGATCCAAGCAACCCGGGCGCCAAAAAGCCACACCGTGGTTGTATGCCGAATTGACACGAGGCAGCGTGCGTGCCTGCACATGTGGGCGCCTCGCCCAGCACGCTCTGCAGGTGCTGCTGTCTGCGTGGTGTCGCAGGCTAAACCCTTCTTCTCCCCTGCTTCATCCCTCGTGCCGCTCCAATTTGAAATGCCCTCCCATCACCTTTTCCACAGTGCTCGTAGTAGTAACCTCGCTCAATTCAAGAAACATTCCTGCTGGAGGGAGCTGGTAGGAACGTTGGGTTGCTCGGTCAATGGCCAGGGTCAACGGCGGCGTGGTGTATTCCGCAAATATGACCGACTGTGAGGGCGGGCACAAGCCGGCGTGAGTAGGTTAAACGTTGAGTTTTATAAGGGCACCACGGGGTGACCAGCCCGTCCCCACCCCCACCCTCCCCTCCCATTTGTGGATGCACGACGGACGGACGGCCACAATAATCCCCTGTGGGCTGGTGGTACCAGGTGGTTCCTACCAGTATTATGTTACTACACTCTGATCTATTCCACCTTCGGCAGCGCTGTTTGTTGCTGGCCGCTTGGCGTCTGTAAAAAGTAAAAGAAGCTATCCAGGGCGGCGGTCTGATTGCCGCATCCGGTCCGATTCCCACTTCCGCGGGAGGCCCAACTTGCCGGTGACGTCTCTCCAGCGTCCGCTCTGCGAGCGCTCGCGTGGTGATCCGCACTCCGTGCGGTCCGGCCGCACGTCGTGCAAGAGTTGCGACGCTTTGTTTGTTTAGCCGTACACGTGGGTCGCTGAACGGTTTGCCTGTTACTCAGTAGCTGCTAATGGGTAGCGATTGAGTAATGTACGCCAATTTTAAAACTGTTCGTCAGAAGACTTTTTTTATCATCTGAGCAGGCCCCGTGGTGTCTGGTGCAGTCTCCCCAACCCTTGTGGTCCACTCATTTCTATGGCCTCCCTTATGTGCAGTGAAGAAATGGTAATTTCCTAAAACACACAACCCTTTATATATTGTTTTTCCTTTTTACAGCCAGTTTTATTGACGCGCGGTGTGCAAGTTTTATTGTTGTTGTTTTTGCTCGTGCACCTCTGCCAACGCAGCGGCGGTATCGCCACGTAACGAGTTCTGTTGAACGGTGGCTTTTATTTGACCCGGTGAGAGCGAGAGCCCCTCTTGATATTCACGATGTCGTTTTCCGGCGAGACACGGAGTGAAACTGCTGCGGAGGGTTTCGTTGCTGTGCGGTGGAGCTCTGCGATGGGTTTATTCATTAAAAACGGAGTTAAAATTTTAACCAAATCACCATGGGGCATGTTCCCCCAAACCATCTGATGGTCATGAGCCAAGGGAGTGAATTTGGCAGCCCCACGGTTGGGACAGTGCATACACTGTGACTTTCCTAAGTTTAGCCACTTAAAATAAAAAAAGGTAAAATTAGTTTCCTGCTCACGCGAGCGTGGGGTGGTGGTGGTGCCCGGTTACCGTCCGCAGCCGGAGCCCGCGGAGCTCTCTCCTCCCTCCGCTGGTTCGGCGCTTGAGTATGTAGACCATGCAGCCTCATTTTCCCCAAAGCAACGATGGGCTAAAATTAACCCTTATCCGGACTTGAACTGGCGACCTTCCGATGTGAGACCTGCAACCCGAGCAGCACCCGCAGGGGGATGTGTAATCCACTACTGGCTTGTCCCAATCGGGGCCGAGTGGCGGTGTCGCGGTTGACCCCAAGTCGGATCGCCGGCCGCAGGCGACGCCGATGGCGAGTGGCGTCGCTGTGGGCGCCCCCACGCTCCCCGGCGTGGTGGCGACAAACAACCGGAGCGACCAACACGGAATGGGGAGGCCTTCAACCGGCGTTGATCGGTTGCAGAGCGGTGAGGGTGAGCAAGGGGATTGACAGATTCGTCCTCGGAGTTCGTGCTTTACACTTTGGTACCTCCTTTAAAGGCTTCGACGTTGACAGATGGACGGCTTGTAAAAGAGCTGTACGTTTCGGTTCCTGAAGCGGCTCCCAGCACGCGTCGCGAAACGTCGGACGCTGCCGAAGCGATGCGCGGCGTAACGCCAAAACCGCGAGCCGTCGCGGCGCTTGCCCTTACGCGCGTGACGACCGTGTGAGCAGATCGTGCCGGCAAGCACCGCTTCCTGCACAAGCGGCACTGCCGCGTTGCCTGCCCACTCGGTTTCTTCGCCGAGTGGAGCTCCCACCGGTGCCAGGACTGCGCCGACAACTGCCAGGTGTGCTCGTCACAAGACTCCTGCACGCGGTGCCAGGCGCGGTACCACGTGGTGAGAGGCGCCTGCGAGGAGGTGCAGACATGCGAAGCCGGTACGGCCCCGCCACCCCCCCCCCCCCCATCTCTGCACTGTTTTTGTTTACTTTGCGCCAGTGTTCAGGCTCGTGTCTTAACAGACGAGTTGTCTCCGCGGTGTTTGCTTTGCGTTTATTCTGCCCCCCGCGTGGTTCGTGCGTCGCGTACTCGCCCCGTGCTCGCGTTCACCCCCGTGCTGGCGTCTTGCAGCGCTGTGCTCGTGTGGTTTGCGCTCGCCCTGTCCACGCACGGCGTTTACCCCGCACGTGTGGAGGCTCGTGTTGATGCCGTCGTCGCTGCTGCGAGTCGGGTCGGGGCGTCGCGTCGTTGACGTCCGTAGTCCACGTTCCCCAGGCCAGGTGCTCGACCCCGACACGGACGACTGCATCGACTGCGGTCTTGGCTGCGCCGGCTGCGCTCCGTGTGAGTGCCGCCCGCCCACAGCCCCCACCCCGAGATTCCCCTCCCACGTGCGAGGATTTCTCCAGGATGTTCGGTTTCCTCCCCCCGCACGCACACTCGTTGTGACGTCACGTGCCTTCTCCTGCCCCCCACCCCTTTCTCACAGCCGACCCCGAGAAGTGTGACCAATGCTTGCCGGGCTACTTCCTGTGAGTACCCACGAGTGCAGTACACTCCACGCATACCGTCACGCACGAAGCAACCGAGGAGCTGTAGTCAGAATGATAGCGACTCGAGCGATCGCGATGATGGTGACGAGGGCACCATCTGGGTAGTTGAGATGCAGCAGGTGATGATGGTAGAAGCAGGAAGCGGTGATGGGAGCAGGCGCATGTGGACATGCGTGCGCAAGCAGGAGTGGAGTGCTTAGTGTACCACATTACGGACCCGGCAAACAGAGATTCCCAATCGTAGCCAATATCCGTGACAAATATCTGAACTAGGTCGACTCAACCTTAAATAAATACCTGGTGTGGTGTGTAAAATCGCCACTTGGGAGACAAAGACGGCCGGGCGTGACACTCCCCACTGGTCCCCTGGTCCACCGTGCCGGCCTCGATAGGTGCTCGCTAGCACAACCTTTTGTCTCTTGCGTAGGCTGCGAGCGCGGTGCCACCGCACGTGCCCGCAGGAGATGTACGGGGACCTCCACACGGGGCAGTGCGCCAACTGCGGCAGCTCCTGCCTGGAATGCGTCGACGCGGAAACGTGCCGCACCTGCCCCCACGGCCACCTGCACCTGCGTGAGTGACGTCGCTCGCCCCCAAATCGCCCACCCGCCCACCCGTTCTCCAAATTTCTCACCCACTCGCCACTTCCAAATCGCCCGCTCGCCACTGCGTGGGGAGGGAGGGTTGACGTTTTGCCGCCGCTGCTGCCACGCAGGTGAACACTGCGTGACGAGGTGCCCCCCGAAGATGTTCGTGAACGGCAGCGCGCGCCGCTGTGAGGCGTGCCACGAGTCGTGCGAGAGCTGCTCTGGCCCCAGCGCCGAGGAGTGCGAATCTTGCCCACGGGGCAGCGTCCTGGACGCCGGGCTCTGTCAGCACCTCGAGGAGTGCACCGCCGGGGAGTTCAGTGGTAACGTGCGGCGACTCCTCTCCATCTTGTGTGTGCAGCCCCTGAGGCCAGTGGTGGAAATTCCATGTTGCCATGGTGGGATCGAGTCTTTCTCGTAGAACAACGCACTGTTGATTCCCCCCCCACAGTCGTACTCCTTTTATTGACCCCGGAGCCATGATGGGCTCCGGGGTCAACTACGTTTATGTAGCGAGTCCAAATGAGTCGCAGACGTTGTCTTCGGAGCAACACGTTTTATTAAACTCTTAGCACGACATACTCCAGGGCTATTAACACAACATACTCCAGGCTATTAACACAGCAAACTCTCGGGTGGTGACCGCCCAACTAACCACGCTACAGCGGAACTAGACATGGTTCCACTATCCCGGTCCGGACCGCGTGGCTGGAGGCTTCTTCAAGCTTGACGTGGATCTCTCCAACAGTAAGAACCCCGAGCCCCTCTCAGGGGGGGGGGGGCCCTTATATGGGGCCAGGCTGGGGCTGGCTCCACCTCTCGCCCCGCCCACCTTCTCGGTCTCTCTCGCCCTTGCCCGAAGGCTCTCGAGAGTTCTTCTCGGACCACGTGACCACCCATTGGCCCCCTCCACCGGTGGCCCCCCTCCAGTATCATCCGGTCACATGCCCCAAGGTCAGCCAGAGTATTGTGCCCCCAACGTCACCCCAGCTGGCTGACACTCTCTCGCTCTCTCAACGGGAGCCCGCACCGCACGCTGTGCGTGGTGCCACCGCGCTCCCCCAAGCCCCCACTAGGTCTGGTACTACACCCCGTGTAGTACGACGAGCCGCGGTCTGCCGTGGCCTCAAGCCCGGCACCACACAGTGACATTCCCAGTCACTACATTTAAATAAAGTTGTCATCGTTAAGCCAAGGACACTGCCGTGGTGTGATCGTTATTCCACGGCCGGAATACCAAGTAAATATTTATGTTGAACTTCTTTCGCACCGTACGTAGCCAACAGTGCTAATCGGAAGTTTACGCATCGTGCGTAAACATCAGCACTGTGCCATGCCAGCCGATCTGTGCCTCCTGAACGTGGATGTCGGTGTGCGTCTCTGTGCCTGTGATGTACCCGTGCAGACAGCTCCACCGGGTGCCACCAGTGCAGTCCGCTCTGCGCCGAGTGCTTTGGGCCTGCCCAGGAGCAGTGCACGTCCTGTGCGGAGGGTGAGTTCCCACGCGCACGGGGGAGGCGGGCGGGCGCACCAGTCCGCCAGCCTGTGTGACGCACCTCGGGGTTTGCTGCTGGCACACGGCGCAGGCGAAACCTTTGCAAGTGCCTGCGTGCAGCCGTCTTCACTTGTTGCTGAAGTGGTGCATTTGAGGACGTGCGCTTGTGGAGGATTGGGGCGGTGCACGCGGAGTGGCCCCTACGTTGTTGTATGCACGCGCGGTGTGCGCGTGCGGCGTACAAGGTTAGGTGGCGAGCTGTGCGCACGCGATCCGGCTGTACATGTGGTGTGCGCTTGCTGGAGTGCATACGTGATGCACGGTCTTTGCGGCGCGTGTGACTCGTGCGCATGCGTGTCCGCCCGTGTCCTCCGCTGACACCGCAGGGAGGTTCCTGGACGAGCAGACGACATGCGTGTCCTCGTGTCCCGAGGGCTTCGTGGGGAGCGAGGACACACGCGAGTGCGAGGAGTGCCCCGAGGGCTGCCGCCAGTGCGTGGCGGACGGGGCGGCGGCGGCGGGGGGGAGCGAGGGGCTGACGTGCGAGGCCTGCTGGCAGCCTGAAGACGCTGCGATCGCCTACTACCTCCACCTGGGCAGCTGCATCGCAGAGTGCCCCGAGTGAGCGCTCTTCTGCAGCTCTCGTCGTGCCTGGGATTGCCGAATCGTCTGCAGAATACTTTAAATTTGCTCTAAGGAGTATATGCTGTGTCACTTTTTTTTGTTTTAATACGACTTCCAGCTTTGACCTCTCGTTGGCCAGCTCGAGGAAGGCAACCTGGTGGTCTCGCACGTGGCTAACAACGATTCTCTCGCTCTCTCCGTCTCCCCCGCGCTCGCTCCGACGCATCCCAGGCACTACTTCGAGTCTCCGGAGGAGGGGGCGTGCGTGCCGTGCGACGCCGCGTGCGCCACGTGCGAGGGGGAGGCCACCGCGTGCGTGACGTGCGCCGGCGGCCTGCTGCTCGACGGAGGCGTGTGCCGCCAGGGCTGCCGGGAGCGCTACTTCGCCGACGCAAACCGCGAGTGCCAGCACTGCCCACAGCACTGCGAGGCCTGCACCAACGCGACAGCCTGCGCCAGTATGTAGCCTCGGTGGCGGCAATGATCTCGAATGGTCTCTTGCAACCAGTGCCGAATTATCCTAGTGGCAACAGTAGCACATGCTACGGGCCACGCACTGTCAAGGGCCCCGTGCTAAATGCTTTCAATAAATTCCGGTTCAGTGATTCCGCACTTGTTCTATTGCTATAGTACTATTGCTATAGTACTATACTGCCTTCAACTTTTATGAATGCCTGGGTGTTCAATGTTAGCGCTTTGTCATAGTATCTTGCTGTATAGCGAATGAAAAAATACAATTACTTTACTGTGCAAGTAAAAAATGTGTCTTAATATATTGTTTTTTATTTAGAGCCCCTTTATAACATATGCTACAGGCCCCGCACTAGCTTAATCCGGCACCGCTTGCAACGGAGACTTGTTTCTCAATCGGCTCTCGCTTATGTGTGTGTGTGTGCGCCCACGGCGTTTTGTCAACAACGGCGATGATGATGATGGTAACGACGCATGCTCGGGCCGTTCAGCACGACGTCTGACGTTTCTCTCTACATGCCGCGTCACCCCTCGTGTTCTGCCCCCTCCTATCCTTCGCCCTCTGCCCCCCCCCCCCCCCCGCTGCCCGCGCAGAGTGCAGCTACCTGTACTCTCTGCTGGGGGGCAAGTGCTACGTGGTGTGCCCCGACGGGTACTACGAGGGCGTCGATGAGGGCCGCTGCCTGCGCTGCCAGGAGAGCTGCGCCACCTGCTCGGGTCCCGGCGAGGACGACTGCGAGCGCTGCCCGCCGGGCCGGCCGCGCCTCTACGAGGGCCGCTGCTCCGAGGAGTGCCCGCGGCACACCTTCTACGACGCCGGCACGGGGGACTGCCAGGGTGAGCCGGGGGGGGGGGGGGGAAGGGGGGCGTGTGCGCCAGCAGTGGGTCCGCAAGGCCGTGGGAAGTGGTCCGGAACTGTTGCGGATACCACGCGCAACAAATATTTGAGGGTTGACGGTTGTCCTCGTGTGCGCGTTCTGGTGTTCCCTCAGACTGCGACCAATCGTGCGAGAGTTGCACGGGACCCACGGCCGCGGAGTGCGCCACGTGCGCCTCCGACGGCGGGGAGCCCGACCCGGACACCGGCCTGTGCTCCGCGGAGGAGGAGGAGGATCCCGCGCCCGCCACGCCGGCCCCCCCCGCGTGCCCGCCCGGCTCCTACCGCCGGGGGGACGATGGCTCCTGCGTCACATGCGACGGGACGTGCGCGGCGTGCCGGGGCCCGTCGGACCACGACTGCCGGTCCTGCGCTCGAGGGGCCTTCCTTTACAGTGAGCGCCACCGCGGGGCCCTTCCTCCCAGAGCTCTTCGCCACCGAGTGGCCTCGGCGTTTGACGCGCGCAGGAGTCCGCGTGACGATTGCTGGGGATTTGGTGGCAGGGCCAGGAAAAGCAATGCAGCGGTCAAGGTTGAGAGTAATCGTGTGGAATTAAAAGCGGGTGGCAGGGTGGCACAGTGGTAGCACTTGTTCCTCGCAGCAAGGAAGGGCTTGTGTTTGATTTCTGAATCAGGGCACATTTCTGCGTGAAAACTTGTATCTTCTCCTCCGCTTCTGCATGGATTTCCTCCATTACCTGAAAATGAAACTTGGCAGGACTTTTCCTGGGTAAACAAGCGTCGCAATAATAACAATTAGTGCGTTTTGTCGGTGACTTGTTGGAGTATTGCCGTGTGGTTGCGCCGTTCCGTACTCAACGATTGCTCTGCCCCACCCCCTGCGCCGGCGCGTGCAGACGGCACGTGCCTGTCGTCGTGCCCCGACGGGCACCACCCTGCCAGGGAAGATGGCTCCTGCGTGCGGTGCCACCCAGCTTGCGCCACCTGCAGGGGAGCGTCCGCCGCGGACTGCACGGCGTGCGTCAGCAGCGCCTACCGCCTCAACAACGGCCACTGCGACTTCTCCTGCCCGCCCAGGTGATCGCCGTCACTTCCCGGCCTTCCTGCTTGAAGATGCTCGGTGCGGTTTTGAGCGAGGCGCCGCATCCGATTGCTGATCAATCTTGGTTGTAACAATTGCGCGTCACCCGCTGTGTGCGAGAAGAAATGATCGGCGCGCCGGTGAGCACTTGGACACGTGGCAGTTTTATTTGTTTGGCTGTGTCTGGTGGCGGAGGGTCGTACTACACACATTTGAATAATTACATGCCCTTGCACCAAAAAAATCTAATTGCGAATCGTAATATTAGCTGCGACAACCCACGTTGTGACATGGCCTTAGTCCTTGCTGTGCTGAACAAACTGCACACTGGGTGACAAAACAGTTTGCTTGTTCAGAAGCAATGCTGCTGAAAGCATGCACTTCTAGAAGGAATTTCGCATTGCTAATGGCATGTGTATTACGCGGGGGGGCCAGATGTGTGGGGGAGGCCTGAATGCGTACATATGCGCCAACTCGCTAACCGTCCGGCACCGCGCCCCGACCACCGGCAGGCATTACGGCGACGAGGAGGCCTCGGCCTGCGTGCCGTGCCACGCCTCGTGCGGCGACTGCTCCGGCCCATCCCCCGCCGACTGCCTGAGCTGCCCCCGGGGCTCCGTGATGCTGGCCGACGAGCGCCGCTGTGTGGAAGGCGGCTGCCCCACGTACGGCTACTTCCCGGGGCACGACGACACCTGCTTCACCTGCCACCGCAGCTGCCGCTCCTGCAGTGGTGAGCCCGGGCCCGTGCCCAGAAGATCTGGATGAGATATCCAAAGGCTCCGACTAGGATCGTGAAAAGTTATGCTTGGGATATGCGCAGATTCTGCCTCCTGGTTGGGATATATCGTCCATGATGCCCAGAGGATCTTATCGAGAGGCTTTGGATGAAGTGGCCTTCATGGGATTTGGTACACAGGGATGCAAGAGGTTAAGGGGTCCTCCCCAAGTTGATCCCAACAAATGAGAATTGGAAGATTGGTAAAGACGCGGTGTGACCACCACGACTGCGCCGATTGTGCTCGCGTGTGTCGCTGACGCGTCGCTAACGTGTTGTCTCCGGCGGGTGGGTGCGGTGTCGCCGCAGGAGGCGGCGCAAAGGACTGCCTCACCTGTGAGTGGGGTGCCGAGCTCCAGGACGGCATCTGCTACCCGGCGTGCTCGGAGAACAACTTCTTCACTGAGAAGGTAGCTGGCCCTCAGCCGTTCCACCGTGACTCTCTCTCCCACCCCGCCGTGAACCCTGCTCACAATCGAAGTGATCTCCTGCTGCTCAAATGAGCGTTGAGGCATTGCGCATCTTCTGTGTTACAGCTCTGAGTTGTGGATATTCCACATTCCTATGACAGGGGGTGAGTCCTATCAATAGGAGAACCACTGTCGACTTCCCCACAAAGTAGTATTCACCTTAACGACCCCAGAGGGATAGTAGCCTGACTTGACACCCAACAAGGATTTCATACATTTTTTTTAATAACTATTTTTCTGGAAAAAATCCCTCTGAAACCTCCTCGTTTGCAAAAGGGCATCGGTTGACACCCAGCCAGGTCCATCTTGCAAACGAGACTCCTCCTGGTCTCTCTTGCATTCTCTTCTGGTTCAACAACATCAACTTGGCCAGTGGGCCGCCACCTGGCACGTTTAGGCCCAAGGACCTGCGTTTGGCAATCGTGATCCTAAAGACGTCTTCTGAAGAGTGTCCCCCTCCCCCCTCCCCGTCCGGGCAGGGTGCGTGCAAGCCGTGCGACGAATCGTGCCTGCGCTGCACGGGCCCCGTGGGCCACGACTGCCTGGAGTGCCACCCTCACCTGGCCCTCAACGTGAGCGAGCGCCGCTGCCTGCCCTGCTGCCTCCAGGGCGGCAACGACGGCGCCGAGTGCTGTTTCTGCCGCGAGGGAACGAGTGAGAGCACGCACGCACCAATAAACAGACGCACGCACCAATAAACAGACGCACGCACGGCCGTGCCACCACAACAGCGACCGCCCTCCTCATCCACCACTTCATCCATCGCCTCATTTGCACCATCGTCGATCTCCACCTTCTGCTAACAAACCAATCCCCAATCTCGCTTATTCCATCGCTGCCTCCACTGAAACCAAGCCCCACACTCTAACCTCTGTCTCCAAAGGGAATTTGAGGATATATCATTGTCTGGACAGCAAGCGGACGGTGCAGCAACATCCATCATTATATCCCACTCCATACTCTTAACCTCTGTAACCTGCAGGGACCAGCATGGTGAAGTATGGTCAAATAACCCCCATGACTCGCACTGTGTGGGGAGACCCTCATGCAGCAGTGACACTCGGCTGTGCATCTCCATTGCTGACTTCACGTGGAACGGCCTCACTTAGCGGTACTCATTTTGCCGACCTCTGAGTCAGGATGATAATGCCCGTGTCGATCGTGGCTGGGATTTGAGCTCTCGACCTCGCGTCATTACGAGGGCTTCCCTCTCTGTTCAGCCGCGCCGTTAAAACGCGAACGGAAACCCTTCCTCCCCGGCTGCATGCGTGCGCGCAGGCAAGTGCGTGCCCCCGCCCCCCGTGAGCGCGGGACGTCAGGTGGGGGCGCCGGACACGCAGCCGTCGGGGGAAGCCTCCTTGGGCCGGAAGAGCCACGCGGCACTGACGGCGCTGCTGGTGCTCTCGCTGATGGCCGTGGGCGCCGGCGCGGCGCTGCTGCTGCGGGCTCGCGCGCACCGCAAGCTGTGCTGGTCCCGCACCAGCTACGAGAAGCTGGGCGGCAGCAGCGGCGGCGGGGGTGGCACGGCGATCGCCACGACCACCACCAAGCCCTTCCACGACGCGGAGCGCGACGGCGTGCGCCTGCGCGCGGAGCGCGGCGAGGGCCGCTACGAGCACAGTCGCTTCCACGACGACCCCGCCGAGAGCGGCGACGACGACGACGACGTCGTGTATACGAGCGGCGACGGCACGGTGTACCGCCGCTACGACCACGGCAAGCACCTGCCCTCGTCCTCCGACAGCGAGCCCGAGGACGGCGCCGCCGGCGCCGGTGGCGACGGTCGGCTATTCGCGTAGGGTCGCTCGCTCCGGACCCCGCCGGGAGGGGGGGGGTTCGGTTGCGGGGCGGCGGGGTCCGGCACGGAGAGGATCATCGAAATGGTGTCGGGGCATGGCAGGAGGCGCCCGAAGCTGGGAACGCGCGGACCGTGCAACGGCAACGTCGAGATTTGCGATCCTCGCGTTGCCGAGGGACGCAAGGACGTTGGAGAGTGAAGTGGGGGGGGGGGGACGTGCCAGCACGTGGGCGTCAAGGCCGCGGCTCGTCGTCGGAGATCTCGAGTCCTCGGGGTTCCCGGTCACCGCTACGAATGTCACGAGCGTGGCGCGAGCACGCCGCTCGCCGCCTCCAACGCTCGCTCGACCGCCAAGCGCACTCCCGCGTCCCCGTGCGGTGCTGATTGTGAAAATCACTTTACTTGTTTTTAGTTTATGCGTTTTTATTGAGGCTGTTGGGGATAAGGTTGGGTTTTTTTAAAACTGCAATAGAGGTGGAATCTACTGTATAAAATGGTTTTAAGGAATGTTGATAAGATTAAACTAAACGCATTTCGTCATGATTTAGATTAGTCGTCCGATGGCGCGCATGTTCCCCTGGTGTTGGTGGAACCTCCAACACCACATACCCCAGCCCTGCAGCGTGATCTTGCCTCACGGTGGGGGCACACGAAAACTCGGGGCGGGGGCAGGGGGGGACATGATACAGAGAATGTTCAATAAACTTTAAACAAACGTGAACGCTAAACAGAATGCGCAAAGTTGCGACCAGCTTGTGTCTCTTGCATGCTGCCCTCCGCTCTCACCCCCTGTGTGCGTAATGAAGACTGGAGTCAAACTGGAAGTGGTGTCAAATATAGCAATTGTCTTTACTTGCTGTGGGCTCGATTCCACCCTGGTGTGGATCGTTCTCGTGACCCAGCTGACGCTGGGGGGGGTGTTGGCGGGGGGTCTGTGATTATGGACTCTGATCGCCTTTCGCTGGGCTATGGCCTTCACCAAACTGTCGCGTTACCCCCAACTTGACTCTGAACCACGGCGCCAACGCTCCTCCTGGCTGCTGCCTCCATCTGTACTTTAGTAAAGTTAAGATTAGGGTTGGGATTAGATTGGCGTTGGGGACGAGGGTGTTTAGGTTGTGGTTTGGGGTCTAGTGGAATGTTTTGAGTGGGGGGTTATAGATATGCTCACTCTGGGGTCACCGTTTATTTGGTGTTGGTGAATTGTTATAGGTCGGGTTCGTGGTGGCGCTGGGTTCTTATTCCGCAGGGATTGTGACTGGAAGCTGTCATGTGACCTCGCGCCCAGATGTTCACTTTAATTTGTTTTACTGCTCCCTATGGTGAGCACAGCGAAGATCCGGCTCCTCTTTTTAATGCGGGTGTAACCGGAGTAATAAGGGGGGCTCCAAGGTGGTCATATTTCAACTGCACCATCCCATCTCCAAGACCAGGATGTCATGGTCAAAGAGGTCGATGCCACCCATACCTCGCTGCCAGATCCCACAGCTGCTGCAGTCAACACGCGGCCACCAAGATCTGCCCTGACAGTCGTCTACCGCCATTTGCTCGTAGATCTTCTCTTCCCTCATGGAGACCACTCTGATGCCTGTCCTCGGTAATCGGCCCTCCCCCATCCTGCACACAACGGCCTCGCCCACCGGATCCCATCTACACCATTCGCCTGCCACGTTCTCTTCCCGACATGCATTGCTTCTGTCTTTCCACGAAATTCCCAGCATCCATCCTCAGATACTTGATGCTCAAATGCCACTAATGTATTTTCCAGTTGTTTGACACCAACTCTGATCCATTCCGTAATCCAGACAGAAACCGATCCACGTTTGCTTGTGGGTGTTAGGCCACAGAGTTTTTTGTTGACATTTTGGGATTAAAACCACTTGCGTAGCCTGGGCCAAAATCAAACGTCGATCTTATCGCACTGGTTACGATTTCATTTGACAGACAGAACTTCTGCCTACTCGATGACCACTCGTGATCCGTCACGCGCGGCCCACCAACACCCAGCAGCCCAGCAGTACACAGTATGTAGCCGCTCCTTTTCTCAACACAGAACTGGCTCGACCGGTCTAGCCCACATTCAGGCTTCGTGAATTGTGGATAACTTCCTGGCATGAAAGATGCGATTGAAATCGCGTCACCCCACAAAACATTCCGTGCATGCTCTCTGCAACGCCAAGGAGCATCGGTGCCAATCCTCGCCCAAACGTCATCCCGTGAGCACATTGCCACCACTAATAATGCCATCTCGTCATTGGCTTCCCGTTACGTTTTGGGTACAATGTAAAGTATTGCCGCTGACCTACAAGGCCTTAAACGACCTTGCACCCTTTACATGCAACAACTGATACCCCCTGCATGTACCGCCACGACCGTTCCAAGTCCAGATCCCGTGCCGAGAGCTGTGGTGGCCGATAAATATGCGCTGCTCCACGACGACGGAACGCCTCCCCATCACCAGTGGCTAGAGAGGGACGCTCACTCGCCCTGTTTATGTCTATTTCGCCTGACTTACATTTCCCATCTACGACCAGAGGATTCTGGACATTGTAGTATTGATATTTCCTAACTAACTTCGTGCGTGGCGCACTGAGATCCCTGGATGAATTGCGGCTTCTACATTTAAATTGTTACTGCGCTGCCAAGTCACGATTTATGATGAAGCTGCGTCACAGCTCTCGTATCGCTCCATCCCTGCTGCTGCCGGTCACGTTATATCAAATTTACTTTGGTACCTCGGGCAAAGGGGGCCACAATAAACCTCGTCACCAACTGCTGATGGTTTATTTGCAAAGCGCACAATGGGCAGGGTGTGCGGTCTCCGCATTTCTGTCGTTGTGGTTGTCGGGAACTCGTTTTCTTAGCCGGCACTTGTTCTGATTGGTGGGGTTATCGCGTCGTTTACCGACTTGATGCACGGCAGAGACGTGCTTGGAGGACACGGTCACGAGGTGTACACTGGGAGCACCTGACGAGCTCGGAAAACCGCTTTCTCAGGTCGACTCGACTGGGCTGCCCCTCCACCAGACGTGTCCACGTGGCCTCCCACACAACCGAGGTCCCAAATATCGCTCGCCCTCATCCACGCGGCTTGTTTCGGAGGTTCGCGGTTCGAGTCCAGCAGCCGCCCTGGTTATCACTGCGGATGTATAAACCGCAAAATGCTAAGCGCCGTCCACTTCGCGGTGGACAAAGGTGCAGTGACGTTGTTCTCAAGAGTAAGACCATTGTGTGACTGCGTCAGTCCAAATAAAAAAAAACAATTATCCGCAAATAGCTAAACTGAGTTCATACAGAGCAAAGGTTGCCCATGACTGGAAATTTGGCATGACTCCAGTGCCGGTAATCTGGACCATCCCCCCCCCCCGCTTCCCCAGCTCGATCCGCACTAACTCACTCCGGCTGGTTCCTTCCAGGTCGTTCTGGCCCATTGCCACCACGTGGACCCTCTTGAAAAGAGTCGCGAAGCTCGGTGAGGTTTGTCACGGGTAAACGAGCAGAATCCTCGCCAATCATAATTCGACACCCCCCTCTCTCAGCACACCCCTGCAGCTACTCGACACACTTGCACACCTCCATCCTGCACCCTCCACGAGTACACACACACACACACGCCCCGATTAACATCCACCAGCAGGTGTCACGGAGTGGTGCCAACGTCTCCGCGGAGCTTGTGCCACACGAGCTGCACTTTGAGATCACGGGGAGTGACGATAAGGGGGCACTGACCGGCAGAAGCGCCACCTGCCCTCGCAATGATGCAAACAGACATAGTTACAGTCTGCGTCATTACATTCCTCGATTACCACTTGGACAAACGCCCGATCTCACGACTGCAGATGCACGCGACCGCGTGACGCCAAACGCCTTACCCCACCGCAACACGACTCGCTCCTCGTATCGCTCGAGCCCATTCTATGCACATTCCACGACAATAACGAGCCTTTACACTATGAGATCTCTTTTACCAGTGGCAAAATATAGTAGTATTATTATCATTATCAGAGTTGCTTCTTTTTTTTGTTAGCTTTTTTGACTACTTGTGTTGTGGTTATTGCAAACATGATGCCTTGAATAAAGGTGTCAGTTTTGTACCAGTTTAAAAGGGTAAAAACTTACTACTACAATAACGAGCCTGTCACTCGCATCTCCAGCCGTCGCCAATCCCGCGTCGCGCGCTGAGCCCCAACGCACCACAGAGGAGAGAGGATTGTGGAACTGGGCAGGCTCCGGGCCTGGTGGGGAACCCGCACGCCGTCTTCGCTGGGGTGTGCAGGTGGGTTCCCGCACGTGGCGGGGCGAGTCGAGGGCGTGAGCCAAGGGGTCGTGCGAGTGGCGCTGCGAGCGCGTGGATCTCCTGGGGGAGGACGCGCGCACCCGTGCTGCCGCCGGGACGGTCACGTGCTTTTTCTGGGTTCCACTTTCACGTTTTTAAACTGGAGGAATCCGATGAGCTATAAAGCTCTTTTTTCTATGTCCAGTTTATGATTGCGTAACCAGGTGAGCGGGCACGTCACAACCTCGCGATAACAGTGATTTGGGTCACCGACACGATGAAGTCAATTAACATGGAAACAAAGTAACTTTGGCAAATAGAAATTGGGCCAAAAACAACACGTAGTACAGTGATTATGGGGAATGACAATCGCGTAACAGAATATCGAGAAGAGAGAACGAACGGAAGTCAATGTTACATTCGGTGTAAAAAAATTACCCCGAACAAGTCGGCTTTGAATTCCAGACAAATGTGACTTGGCAAAGCGAGCTGCAAGGTGGGTGTGCCAAGGCCATGGGGACGGGCAAGACGACGGCGAACGTTCAAACGACGTGCTGGACTAGCAGGAGGCGTGGAACACGCGGCGTGACCCGCCGCACCGACTGGGACGAACGACCCGGAGTCGCGACCGGCTTTGACGCGACACGAGGCTCACGCCCCGCGCAAACAGGGGAAGGCCGCGACCCACCATCGCTTTGTACTTCTGTATGTGTATTGTGTCACAACTATCTCGTGGCTCGACATTACGAATCTAGGAGGGGGGGGGGGGGGTGTCATCACGACACGAGTATCGCATGCACGCGTCGTTGGGGAATACAGAAGTCGACACCAACTTGTCTTCTTTACGGTGGGTTATAGACTCTTACAAGAGTTGGTCGCTGATCGCTCATCCTCTCTCTATAACGCGCAGCATGGAGCGCGGATGAATGAGCATCCCTCATATACTGCACCACGATGTTACCCCAGAGCTGTCTAAGCAACGGGAGTGTTTTTAAGCGGACCAATTGTGAAGACGTGTCACATTAGCTCTGGCTGTGAGCCCGACAGATAATCTGTGAACATCAACACCCTCCGGCGTGCGCTCCTGCCCATTCACATCGGTTTGTATGTCAATGCAATATCGCATTGATATTAAACACGTAACCTACGTCCGATAGGACTGGTACGCTATCTGGTGATGCTGCTGCTGCGTTGGTAGGGGTGCATAACCACAAATAACACTGTAACACAATTTTTGTCCCTGGGTAGTAAGTGTTATTTTTTAATTCTTATGCCTAAAAAGTATAGAAAATGGCTTTTATTCCCCACAAAATTTGCTTTTGTGACCAGGACAGTGATATTTTTAAACGTACCTATTTTCATTGAGAAAACGGGCGAATTTATGTCTTTTCGTTCACATAAAGTCATAAAAAAACATATGAATCGAAATTAACATGTATTTATACTAAAGTAATAAAAATTTACTACAAAAGATTTAGAAGTGAGTAGTTTGTCGAGATTTACGATCATACTGTCAACCACTTTCACGAATCAGCTCCCAAATGTAGTCTCCCATCATGTTCTTGTTATACTTTCCTTGGTAGCGGCGTTCAAAGTCCAGTATATCCTGGTGGAAGCGCTCGCCTTGCTCCTCCGAGTACACTCCCATGTTCTCCTTGAATTTATCAAGATGAGCATCAAGGATATGGACTTTGAGGGACATCCTACAGCCCATTGTGCCGTAGTTCTTCACCAGAGTCTCAACCAGCTCCACATAGTTTTCGACCTTGTGATTGCCCAGGAAGCTCCGAACCACTGCGACAAAGCTGTTCCAAGCCGCTTTCTCCTTACATGTGAGCTTCTTGGGGAATTCATTGCACTCCAGGATCTTCTTTATCTGTGGTCCAACGAAGACACCGGCTTTGACCTTTGCCTCAGACAGCTTAGGGAAGTAGTCTTGAAGGTAATTGAAGGCTGCCAACTCCTTATCTACAGCTCTGACAAATTGTTTTATGAGGCCCAATTTGATGTGCAGTGGTGGCATCAGCACCTTATGGGGGTCCACCAGTGGCTCCCACTTGACGTTGATCCTCCCCACATAGAACTCGGTCCGCTGTGGCCAGTCCCACTTGTGTTAGTGCATCTTGGTGTCCCTGCTGTCCCAAAGGCAAAGATCGCAGGGAAACTTGGTAAAACCGCCTTTGAGACCCATCAGGAATGCCACCATTTTGAAGTCTCCGATGACCTCCCAGCCATACTCATCATACTTCAAAGCATCCAGCAAGGTCTTGATGCTGTTGTAATCCTCTTTGAGGTGCACCGAGTGAGCCAGGGGAAGAGATGGGTACTTGTTACCATTATGGAGCAGCACGGCTTTGAGGTTCCTGGATGAGCTGTCAATGAAGAGGCGCCACTCATTCTGGTTACAGGCGATTCCGATTGCTTGAAACAGACTGGTCACATTGTGGCAGAAGCAGAGCCCATCTTGACGGGTGAAGAAGCTGCAAAAAGGTTGGTGACGCTTCCTCTGATCTGCGACTTGCACACTTGCATCCAACAAGTTTCACTGCTTGAGCCTAAACGTCAAAAGTTCGGCATTGGACTTGGTGAGACCAAGATATCTGATCAAGTCATTGAGGTCTTTTTGGTTGGGGTAGTCTGGGTTTATCTCCTCAGCTCCGCCTCTGAAATTGTCATCTCGATCTACAACGTCTTCCTCGCTCTCTGACTTGCTGCTCTCTTCTAAAGACGGCAGTGTGGTACCGGGGCAATGGATGAAGGAAGGTCCGGATACGTGATAGCAGGTGCATTCTTGCCATTCCGACGTTTGGAAGGGTCCACCATGCAGAAGTAGCAGTTGCTTGAGTGGCCAGTGGGTTCCCGCCAGATTCTTGGGATAGCGAACTTCATGGCTTTCTTTTCCCCTCTGTACCATCCTACAAAAATACATTTATTTCACCCATGACGAATGTGTAAGATTCTCGAAACATTTTTTATATATGATATATTTTTTTAATAACATTTAAAATTGTAAAACATTTAAAAATAGAAAAACTTTTACAATTTCTTTATTTTTACAAATGTTATAACTTAAAATTCCGAGCAACAATTGTCCATCTTACCTTCCAGGCATAATCAATTAGAAAATAGTACTACCCAGGGACAACATTTTGCTTGTTACACAGTGCAATTATTAAACTGGACACATTAGTCAATGACATGGCCCTTCTTCACATCACACACACGGAGAACAGAGACGTACAGCAGATGAGTATCGAAATTCAAATGAACTTGACCAGGGTCTGGGTGAACTGGGAGGGATCAGGAAGGCGTGAGCGGCGGTGTCAGAATGGAGCGGAGCGTCACCTCGCGAGGGGGAGGTGGGGGTGGGGGGTGGGGTGGGGGGTGCAGGTGGCAGGGCTCGAGGTGGGGTCTGATCATCACCTGGAGCACGCACGCACTCGCTCCCCGCTCACCTGCCGCGGGTGGCCACAGCTCGCGGGCTCTGTCGCCTGCCCTGAAGGAGAAGCCACAGAGAGCTGCGAGTTCGGCGGCCCTGGTGGCGAGGTAAGGGCCCTCTGTCCGACGTTTCGCACGCACACACAGACACGGTGTGTGTGCGTGCTGTCGAGCTCGCCGTGCTACTGGAGGGGCTTTGTCGTTTCCTTTCGCACGGCTGCCGCTGTGGATGCAAAGCGACGACGACCTCACATCGGGCGAGGGTGGTCAAGCCCCGGGTGGGTCACCCGCGCGAGCAGCAGCAGCAGCGGTAGCAGCGGAGGAGGCGGGGGTCGCAGCTGCGATCTCCACGTCGTCTTTGCCGATCGGGACGTCGTCGCGTCGGCTGTTGCCGCTGTGCGCGGCGGGGCTCACCTGGGGTTCTGCCGTGGTGGATGGCTGTACAGTGCAGCGTGTACTGTGTGTGTACCGTGTGTGTGTACTGTGTGTGTGTACCGTGTGTACTGTGTGTACTGTGTGTGTACCGTGTGTACTGTGTGTGTACCGTGTGTATTGTGTGTACTGTGTGTGTACTGTGTGTACCGTGTGTACTGTGTGTGTACCGTGTGTGTACTGTGTTTACTGTGTGTGTACTGTGTGTACCGTGTGTGTATTGTACTGTGTGTACTGTGTGTGTGTACTGTGTGTGTACCGTGTGTACCGTGTGTGTACCGTGTGTGTACTGTGTTTACTGTATATACTGTGTGTACTGTGTGTGTGCTGTGTGTACTGTGTGTGTACTGTGTGTGTACTGTACGCAATGTATGTGCTGTGCGTGTGTACTGTATGTACTGTGTACTGCGCGTACTGTGTGTATGTACTGTGTGTGTACTGTATGTACTGTGTGTACTGTATGTACTGTGTATTTGGAGTGTGCGCAGCGACGAACCCGGTGACCCGAGTTCGAGTCCCGCGAATATTTCAACCGGTCCTGGCCCACGCCTAGGTCGACTCGACCTCAAATGAGTACCCGATTCGATGCGTAAACATCGCCCCTGGGGAGACAAAGGCGGCCGGGTATGGTGCTGGTCACCCATCACCGTCGTGTGCCACTGCCGATCTCCATAGGCGCTCGCTCACAGCACTTGCCTCAACAGTGAGCTCAAGGCTATATGGGGGATCTTTGCCTTGTGTGTGTGTGACCTGCCAGGGGTTCTAAAACACTCGAATCACCATCAGAAGTCGAGAGTGAACGGCGGCGCTGCCAAATGATTCAGTCTCGCAGCCCGGCCCCTGCTTGTCCGCCTGCGACTCGTCCTGTGTGTATCTACACTGCATGTAGAACTTCTTTTGCGCCGTACGTAGCCACGCGTGCTCATTCGGAGGCTCCTGTGCATAGGGCCAGGGCAGAACCCAGCTTCACCCACGCCAACAGCAGTAGCAGCAGCACCTGAGTGACCCCCCTCGTCACTGAGTGACCCCCCTCGTCACTGAGTGACCCCCCTCGTCACTGAGTGACCCCCCTCGTCACTGAGTGACCCCCCTCGTCACTGAGTGACCCCCCTCGTCACCACGCAGTGCGCTGTGCTCGCGTCAGTCACCGTTGTTGGCCGCACGAGAGAACTCGGCACGTTCCACGTGGCGAGGCGGCCACGGGTGGCTCCCACTGGCGAACGTCTGCGGTTAGGGCTGGCTCATGGGCCAGTTTACATCGGGCCGACGGCTCGTATGCGCCGGTACACGTGTGTGTGTGATGACAGTGGAGTCAGCCTGCAGTACCAGTGGGCTGGTGCCTACGGGAATGATCGAGAATCGGAGCGTGGCCAGGGACCGTGTATAAGGGAGATGCGCCGGGCAGTGTACTGAGACACGGGCGGAAATTCCTTCCCGTATGGCGAAGTCATTTCTTTCGAACAACCATTTCTGGCTTTCTATAAAGCGGCGTTCGTTTGAGCGAGCACAGAGAGAGATAAATAAGCAGACGATTCAGCCTCCTTCCCATCCCACATCTGTCCCGCCACGTAAACAATTAAAGCAATGGATTTACACGTTCCATCAGCCACACGACCTTCTGGGTGTGCGTACATTTTAGTAGCGTTGGTTCAACACAAGGACAACCCTGGAGCAGTTTCGACATTCACTGTCTCATCAGCAGACGCGGGGTAGCTTAAATCAATGCTCGTGAACTCCCCGCTCCACCTAGCCCGGTAGCATGATGTGGCATTGACACGGAAGTCGCCATGTGACTGTGTCACACGGCCGGCTTGTCAACTCGTCTTGCGCAATGGAAACGTCCCACGGCAGCCTCTGGTCACGCCAGGGTGCGGGATGGGGCCTGTAATTAATGCACCACGGCCACAAACGCACCTCTCGTTGCCCGCCACCGCCGGATTAGCAATAGTTACCGATACTGGGGGGCGGTCCATGGACTCAGTGGGATCCGAACCAGGGTGCCCTCCTTATCGAGAACCTCCTGCTCCCACCCGCTAGCCGCTTCCGCCAAACTTGCAAAGGGATGACCGGCGAAATATGAAACATCAAATCGGCTTTGTGTTCAGCGGCAGACCACACTCAGGCTTGACGGGGGACAGGGATTTTCAACCGGGGATTCCAGCAGCTATCAAGGCTAAGGGGGTCTGCAGGGTGCCACGTGTTCCACGGAGACCAGAAAAACAAATGTCAGGATGGTCCGAGACTGGGGTTGAGGCATTTTCGTGGCTAACGAGACTCCACAAAGCCGATTCTCATCTCTACTGCGGTGGATGTTCAACCGGAATGTTTATCCTCAAACACAGCAGTGAATGATGACGATCGTCCGGCCCAGTGCTTTGGGAATTCCAGGTAGCGGTGGTTACTGTACAGAACTCTCGCGCGTTGTTGATTATGACGATTATTACGACAATAAAGAATAGCACATATCATGTCATCCCAAGCCGCCCTGCGCGTCACTCGTACGGACACACGGACACGAGTAGTGACCTGCAGGAGGAGGATGAGGCATTTATAAACATTAATTTTGCAGCGATGTAAAATGGTCTCGGTTATTGGCGGTTGAATGGTCTGAAAATGTAATGACTTGGGGAGGAGAATCTTGGTGAGGCCTATCATTGTCTTTATGAGAGATGAGCCGCCTGTTTACTTTGTCTTAAAATGCCTGGCTCTGCTCGTGGTGTCACCTTTCATTAATTAATTTCCCAAACGCTATCATCACTCACGGTGGGACAGGGTATTACTCTCGGTGCGAGCAGTTGCTGTGTTGATACGGTAGCCCTAGATACTCAGCAACGCGGCTTTCATATTTCTCCTTTTAATTTCCAGGCGCAAACATGGGCCAGGCGGTCAAGTGGAACAGAAAGGGGGTGATCGTTTGCGCCGTCGCGATCGCCACAGGAGCGGTCTTCCTCGTGTGCGTCCGGAGTCACAGCGTGCCCAGGGAGCCGCGCGGACACGGGGAGACCTGGGGCCTGAGCCGCTACGAGCTGCCGGACATGGACCCGCGCTTCCCCGTGAACTGCTCTGCGGTGGTGCGAGGCGACGAGGAGAGCATCGCCGAAGCGATGCTGCTCTCCATCACCGTCGAGTTCAACAAGCGGCGCCCGCTCGCAGAGGACGATTACCTGAGGATGACGCGCGACTGCGATGCGTTCAAGCGCGACAGGAGGTACGTGACGGTGCCGCTGAGCGACGAGGAGGCGGCCTTCCCCATCGCCTACTCCGTGGTGGCCCACCACCGCGTGGACATGCTGGAGAGGCTGCTGCGCGCCATCTACGCGCCACAGAACGTCTACTGCCTCCACGTGGACCAGAAGTCGCCGCCGCCCTACCAGGAGGCGGTGCGCGCTCTCGCCGCGTGCTTCCCCAACGTCTTCCTGGCCAGCCGGCAGGAGCGGGTGGTCTACAGCTCCTGGCTGCGCGTGCAGGCCGACCTCAACTGCATGCGGGACCTCGTGGCGGCGCCGCAGCCCTGGAAGTATTTCATCAACCTGTGCGGCCTCGACTTCCCCATTAAAACCAACCTGGAGATGGTGCGAGCGCTGCGCACCCTCAACGGGAAGAACAGCATGGAGTCCCTGCACACTCCGCGGGACAAGACGGTGCGCTGGGAGATACGCCACGAGATCGTGGATGGCGAGCTGCGCTCCACGCACGTCAGAAAGTCCCCTCCGCCCATCCCCACGCCCATGTTCTCCGGGAACGCGTACATCGTGGTGACGCGCGCCTTCGTGGAGCACGTGCTGAGCGACCCCACGGCGCGGGCGCTCATCGAGTGGGAGAAGGACACGTTTAGCCCCGACGAGCACCTGTGGGCGACGCTGCAGCGCCTGCCCGGGGTGCCGGGCTCCTCGCCGCCGCACGACAAGTACGACGTGGAGGACATGATGGCCATCGCGCGCCTCGTGCGGTGGTCCTACATGGAGGGCGACACGCTGCAAGGGGCCGCTTACCCGCCCTGCCGCGGCACCGTGGTGCGCTGGGTGTGCGTCAACGGCGTGGGCGACCTCCCCTGGGCGCTGCAGCAGCACCACCTCTTCGTCAACAAGGTTGACTCGGCCGTGGACGACGTGGCCGTGCACTGCCTCGAGCGGCACCTGAGGAGCAAGGCCCTCGGGGAGGCCGTGCGCCCCTGTGCCGGGGCCGGCGCCAGCACAGCCGCCTGCGAGGAGACGCGGCCCCGGCACGTGGCGGAGCGCGGGGCCTAAGAGGAGTCGTTTCGATGGCTCCTCTTCAGAAGAGTCGTTCTGTGAGCCACGGCGGATGCACGCCACGTCGCGTGACGAGGCACATCGACGACTCTACGCCTTTCATCAGTGAAGCCTGTTCCATCCGGTGCCGTTGCTTGTACTTTACAAGTCGCATTGTTGCCCTCACGTGGGGCGACCTCGCTGCCTCGCCCCACCGGTGACCTTCACCATGAATACCCACGCCTCTGGATTCTCTGATGTCTGATTTTTAAGCGGGGCGCTATGCTTTGCAAAATTTTCAAAGACATTTCTTTTTTTTAATTTTCCAGGGCAGGCTAAAAAAAGCCCAAAAGGTCAAGAGACCAGCGACAAACGGCACTATTTATCAAAGTTCTTGCATTGAGAGAGGTTATTAGAAGAATTTTGGAAGAGAGACGATGATGGGGTCGATTTCCAAAGTGGAGCAGTGTCAGGAAAGAAGCAGAGAAGTGTTGTGACTTGCAGTGTGATGAGTGAGTGAGTGGGTGAGTGTGTTGATGTGACCTGCAGTATGATGAGTGAGTGAGTGGGTGAGTGTGTTGTTGTGACCTACATTGTGGTGAGTGGGTGAGTGTGTTGATGTGACCTGCAGTGTGATGAGTGAGTGAGTGGGTGAGTGTGTTGTTGTGACCTGCAGTGTAGTGAGTGGGTGAGTGTGTTTGTTGTGACCTGCAGTGTGGTGAGTGGGTGAGTGAGTTGTTGTGACCTGCAGTGTAGTGAGTGGGTGAGTGTGTTGTTGTGACCTGCAGTGTGGTGAGTGGGTGAGTGTGTTGTTGTGACCTGCAGTGCGGTGAGTGGGTGAGTGTGTTGTTGTGACCTGCGGTGTGGTGAGTGAGTGAGTGAGTGGGTGAGTGTGTTGTTGTGACCTGCGGTGTGGTGAGTGGGTGAGTGTGTTGTTGTGACCTGCGGTGTGGTGAGTAGGTGAGTGTGTTGTGACCTGCGGTGTTTGGTGAGTGGGTGAGTTGTTGTTGTGATCTGCAGTGTGATGAATGAGTGAGTGGGTGAGTGTGTTGTTGTGACCTGCAGTGTGGTGAGTGAGTGAGTGTGTTGTTGTGACCTGCAGTGTGGTGAGTGGGTGAGTGTGTTGTTGTGACCTGCAGTGTGATGAGTGGGTGAGTGTGTTGTTGTGACCTGCAGTGTGGTGAGTGGGTGAGTGTGTTGTTGTGACCTGCAGTGTGGTGAGTGGGTGAGTGTGTTGTTGTGACCTGCGGTGTGGTGAGTGGGTGAGTGTGTTGTTGTGATCTGCAGTGTGGTGAGTGGGTGAGTGTGTTGTTGTGATCTGCGGTGTTGGTGAGTGGGTGAGTTGTTGTTGTGATCTGCAGTGTTGGTGAGTGGGTGAGTGTGTTGTTGTGACCTGCAGGTGTTGGTGAGTGGGTGAGTTGTTGTTGTGATCTGCAGTGTGGTGAGTGGGTGAGTGTGTTGTTGTGACCTGCAGTGTGGTGGTTGAGTGGGTGAGTGTAGTTGTTGTGACCTGCAGTGTGGTGGTTGAGTGGGTGAGTGTAGTTGTTGTGACCTGCAGTGTGGTGGTTGAGTGGGTGAGTGTGGTTGTTGTGACCTGCAGTGTGGTGGTTGAGTGGGTGAGTGTAGTTGTTGTGACCTGCAGTGTGGTGGTTGAGTGGGTGAGTGTGTTGTTGTGACCTGCAGTGTGGTGAGTGGGTGAGTGTGTTGTTGTGACCTGCAGTGTGGTGAGTGGGTGAGTGTGTTGTTGTGACCTGCAGTGTGGTGAGTGGGTGAGTGTGTTGTTGTGACCTGCAGTGTGGTGAGTGGGTGAGTGTGTTGTTGTGACCTGCAGTGTGGTGAGTGAGTGAGTGGGTGAGTGTGTTGTTGTGACATGCGGTGTGGTGAGTGGGTGAGTGTGTTGTTGTGACCTGCGGTGTGGTGAGTGAGTGTGTTTGTTGTGACATGCAGTGTGGTGAGTGGGTGAGTGAGTTGTTGTGACCTGCAGTGTGATGAGTGAGTGAGTGGGTGAGTGTTGTTGTGACCTGCGGTGTGGATGGGACTAAACCATGCAGCCGCGCGACGTAACAATGCACGGTGTCCATATTGCTTCAGTTGCGAGCGCGTTGCCCATTGAAGCCCCACGGCTCAATTTCATAATCACCCGTAATTGCCGAAAGGTGTTTATGGAACAGCACGACCGTATTTATTGAAGGCACCTGTCGCTATACGGCACCTTGCGTTGGCCTCTGCAATACGAGCGGAGACCGAGAGAACGGCGGGGACGCGTGGAGAGAGAGAGTTGGGGGGGGGGGGGCGTGCCCAGTGTCGGCCACGCGCGCCGTGGAGCGCGCGCGAGCGAGCGTCATTGTACACCCATTGTTCACGCGTATAACCATTGTTCTCGCGTACAACCATTGTTCTCGCGTACAACCATTGTTCACGCGTACAACCATTGTTCACGCGTACAACCATTGTTCTCGCGTACAACCATTGTTCACGCGTACAACCATTGTTCACGCGTACAACCCATGTTCTCGCGTACACCCATTGTTCACGCGTACAACCATTGTTCACGCGTACAACCATTGTTCATGCGTACAACCATTGTTCTCGCGTACAACCATTGTTCACTGCGTACAACCATTGTTCTCGCGTACAACCATTGTTCACGCGTACAACCATTGTTCACGCGTCTGACCTCTCCCATATACAAGGAGAAGAATCAGCACATTCGTTGATAACACCGTGATCCCTAAAAGTAAAAGTAGTATAAATAGGCCAAGTTACACGTGTAGTCGCAGACGTTGTCTTGGGAGCAACACGTTTTATTACAGCAACTCAGCACGCAACGTAACGTAACCTACACTCGGGTGTTGAACGCCCAGTAAGCGGGCTGCACATCATGCCAACACATTATCCGCCGTGGCCTCGCAAGCCCGGCACCACACAGTGACACTCACAGTCACTACACGGGCACTGAGCCCCTCCTCCACAACGCACAGAGGGCCGCTGCAGAGGCATCGTGGATACGGGTTTGGGAGGCGGTGTTATTGACATGTTTTGACTTCGATGAAACATAAACACAGGTTTACTCTTTCAAGCAATGAAACAGGGCGTGTTAAGATGTTCAAACACCAAAATAGATAGATATCTTCTGCAGGCATCGAGTTTCCATGAACCACACATACTTGTCACAAAACATGCAAACAAAAGTGGTCTGATAAAGATATACGCATCGTCCTTGATACTGATTGGCCTCCATCCGAGACGGGCTTCTTTGTGGCCTCATCTCAGCAGCGGTAGACCAGCGGACGGTACAAAGATCATGCAAGTACTGGATCAGAACACTTGCACCTCGGGTCGAGCAGTGATATGGTTGAGTGTGCGTGTGCACCGCCGTCAACACAGCAGCAGCAGCAGCATCAGCGCCAGTGGTGGATGTGCTTCGTGTTTGGATCGAGCCGTGTGATGTGGGTCACGCGTTGTGCAATCTCTCTCCCAAGCCAGTGGTCCCCGGCCTTGTTTAGCTCCTCCTGCTCCCCCCTCCCATGTCGGGTTCTGTTTCTACCGAGCAGTGGCCACCCCCTTGCTCGACCCAACGGGGTTCTGAGAAATAAATGTACGAATAATGAACGTCAATATTGTAACCAAATTGTCCATTTTGTGAGGTTTATTGTGACTAGCTGCTCGTAACTACAAGCGCGTACAAACAAAATCAACAGATGCTCTGCACACGTGACGTTATTTGTTCGCGTTCGCTCGTTCCTCTTGGAGACCACGGCGTTTACGATGAATGAGTTTCGAAAGGTTTTGTTTATACCACTCTAGGCTACCATATTGGAGTGAAATGTAATCGAAGTTATTTTATATCGCCAGATTCACACGTAATTATCCACCGATGACTCTCGTGTATGATATGATTCACACATTTCTGAATGACCTCTCGTACCCCGAAGGGGTCTGCGTACCCCCAAGGGGTCTGCGTACCCCCTGTTGAGAGCCGCTGCTCCAGTCACGCTTGGTGGTGCGACCCTCGTGTTCTGTGCCTAACTTCTTTCGCACCGCGCATAACCAACGGCGCTCAATCGCATATCCAACCATTTCACAGCGAGTGGGATGTGTGAAGACCGCCCTGTATTCTAAAAATGTGTCCATGTTTGAGATGTGGGCTTACGTTCTCATCGTAAATGGGCCATCAACAAAGACGATTGACCCAGACGGGTGACAACTTTGCACTCTCTGGCGTGGTCGCCCGGCCACACAGACGAGGGCCCCGCAACGGACCCGTCGGGAAGTTTCGCAACATCTGTGTTATCTGCCAACCCTCGCTGCCTCCATCGTGATGATGGATCACAGACCACCAACGAGCCGCCCCCTTTGTGCCATCGGGGCACGGAGTCTCTGGGTGTCGCCGCCCCCCAGGTGAGAGACGTCATGAGTGGCTCGTCGTCTACAAAGAGCGCCCCTCCCGTCTCGAGCCATTCCAGAGCGTGGCCCAACCGTGCCCATGAGCGAGGTGAGGGGGTGTCCCACGTGGGATTCTGCATCGGGTGCTCGGGCCTGCGGGGAACCTCCCCGGGTGGCCCCCTGCACCCTCGGTGGTCATTTGTACAAAGCCAGACACAAACATGACATCATTGCTTAAATGATGGATAGTGTGAACCATCCCTTCCCATCTGTCCTCAATACTCAATGAGCATTGGTTGTGGAGAATATAAATAACAAAATATACAAGCTGACCCTTTTCTTCCTTCGCACGTTTGTGCAAAAGGTTCGTTTATGTTTTACGTGGAGAGACACATATATACTGTGTGGAGAGACATATACTATGTGGAGAGACATATATACTATGTTGAGATACATATACTACGTGGAGAGACACACGGAAAGGGGGCGTTGTCTGCCTTTTTACTGTGTTGAATGTTGGCAGCTTTGGCACTATGTATCTAGAATTGACTTTTTTCGCACCGTACGTAGCCAACCTTGCCAATCGGTTGTCCACGTCCTGAAATGGCTCGAGACGCGAGAGGGCGCTCTTTGTAGACGACGAGCGATTGCGCAGACGTGAGAACGAGCCACTCATTGCATCTCTCACCTGCGGGCATTTCACCCAGAGACTCCGTGCTCGATTGGCACAGACGGCGGCGCGTTGGTGCTTGCGATGCACGAGGCCTGTGATTCGGCATCATGGAGGCAGCGAGGCTTGGTGGATCACACAAATGTTGCCCGACTCCATTCCCGTGGGCGTCGAGGAAGGCGTCGTACCTTGACTGGCCAGGAGATGGCGGGATCGAGCATTCCCCCCTTGCGAGTGTTGTTTTCCTGGGTGCTCCAGTTTCCTCCCACATGTCAACGGTCATTAATCGTCCGATCACACCTGAATACAGAGAGGACTGCAGAGCTTGGGCAACTGTTGGCGCTGGTCCATTGAGTTGCTCCTTGCGCCTCTATGTGGTGGCACGCTCCGAGTTGAACTCGGCTCGTGACAAGCTGAACTCGGCACAAGTTGTCATTACATAAAGCGGAGCCTCGAGTTAACGCCGATTTCTGAAACTAGCGGCGATTGTGTCTGCAACGACCTGGGAGAGAGCCGGTGGCACACGTTCGTGGTTGAACCAAGACTCAAAGCCATCCACTCCACCCGAGACTCTAAACCCCGACTCGAAAACGCAGCACCTGCGGCTGCCTGACATTGAGACCCACCACGATATTAGATATCGTACGGCACGAGGTCACCTACGATTGTATCGTCCGTTCTGTAAAAATAAAAACATATCGCGAAATTTTAAATGTGTTCCAGGATAATTGGCGTCGTGGCGATTATATGATGTAAATTATTTAACTAATATCGTGTAAATATCGGCGTTGTGCGTGTGTGTGCTCAGCGCTAGATGCCGTGCTGAAAGGGACTTGGGGAAATGCTTGCGCCGGGGAGCTGCAGTTGAAGGACATTTAAGTGACCTTCACTCGTCCGGCAAGCTACAGCGGCGCAACAAACGCGTGAAGCACAGCGTCATGGGGAAGCGTAGATTGCGATCATTCACATCGCGATAATCGTGCCTCGTATCGGGGGAAAAAAACATCGCGGAAAACCTTGACCCAGCAATGCCCAGGCTGGGCCACAGGGGGGCGCGCTAACCTCACCTGGCACCGAGTGGCCGCTACACTTGGCGCTCCCTCTCCAACTCGGCCACCTGAGTTCGACTCCCTGACACAGCAGTAAACGGGTGAAAAGGTAGGGACATGTCTGAACCGGTGCTGCAAGCCCCGAACAACTTCACCAATCCGTA